TAGGAATGTCCATTTATTCACAACATACAACTGTATCCTCACAGAAAGTATGACTGCAATTTCAATGAGGGTGATATGGATGATTCACACAATCAGTCTTGCATCTTGACATACATGCTGGAGGCAACCTGTAATGCCTACAGTCTAATACAAACTATTATGCAATATTTTTTTCAAATACCTGTCATCTGAATCATTAATCATAAAATAAACATGACGGCTTAAGTACAAGGTGAGATTTGATTTTGATTAAAAGAATGTTGAATGCAAAACTAAGCATGTCAAAACCCCCTCAGCACATATCTAATGAAAAATATAGTTGTTGGCAGGTGACTTTTCTGGTTAGCTAATGCGAGCTAACCTACGTCAGGATTTTAATATTTTTAGGACCGATCAATTTATTTTCTTGTTCTTTCGGTAAGGAACCTGCTTAACTATTTTCCCAACGTAAATAAACAAAAGAATAAAAATGGATGACTGATAAAGTATCTTACCATTTTCTCCTTTTATTATTTTTGCCAAATTTGTTATTCAAAAGATTTATTTCAAAACCACCATGACATTACTTATATGCTTCTTGGCATAGTGGCCCAGGAAAATCTGCAGAATAAGAAATACAATTTGTCTGGTCTTCAAAAAAAATGAGTTTCCCTAATACTGAGAAGCAAGTTAGATGTTCACATGATGAGAGATGCTGTATCTATCACAATGATGTTTATCATATCTGCAAGTTGAGTTTTTTTCATGATGTTTGGTTGTTTATTTATGACAGTGGCCTACAAATGAGTTTGGACCAGGCAAACAAACGATTAACATCACGAGCATCAAGCATCTGATTTGAGAACGATGACCTCAAACAACTTCATCACCGAGCCAACCTGCCCCCTCCCCTCCTCTCTAAGTCACCCCAACAAGAACAGGTGCAGGGGAGCCATATTCATCTTGTCATGATGAAGAATGGGCGTTGACTAAGGAGTACTTACAAAGATAGTGACACTTCACTGTAGCTCACCTGGATATGCAGTCAATAGTTTGAAACTTCACACTAAGACAGCGACTTGACAAACATACATGCCATAACAAAATAAACAAATCTCAAATTTCATTACAGTTTGTACAAAATTGGCAGAGTAACGGCCATTAATAGATTTTTCAATATGGTGGCCATATTGAGTGAGGGAGTGAGTACAGTCTTACGCCGCAATATTACAGCTACCACACAGCCCGTGGCCATATGGAAAATTGGATTCGGACCTCTTGAACCAATCCAGTGTCATCATTGGTGGGAACAAGTATGTGAAGTTTCAGCTTCATTGGCTCAGGGGTTTCTAAGAAGAAAATGTTTACGACGGATGACAAACAAAGGCCATGACATAAGCTCATCTGAGTGAAAGTCAGATGAACGAAAATCTACAGCATAAACATAACATCAACATCACCAGGTCAGGTGCAAAATTTGACAAAATATACTTCACCCTTCACCTTTCACTGACATATGGAATGAAAAAAAGATCAAGAAATCTGTCCTGGTCTGAATAAAGGCAACTTTGCATGAATATTCCAATACGTCTGTAATGTGTATTTGTGACAAGATAGGTTTGAATCTGTATCAGGAGACGAACTGACTAGCACCTGTGAAAATAATGGACGGATATAATGTACAATACATATCACATTTGGCTAACATTTGCAAGTTTATCACAAACTAGATGTCACCTAAGGCATCATGGAACACATTTAGCATCTGTACAACATAACAAAGGCCACTTGTTCAGGAAATTATAGTTAAAGTCATCAACATTGTAAAGTAAATAAACAATCGAACATGAAACGGCCAGTGCTCGAAACTCATGGGCTCATAGGTGGCCCTTGAGGTTTTCTCCAACAGAATTTGAATCAAGGAAGCAGCTGGTTTCTAGAGTTTGTAACACGACAGTTATCACTAGAACCCCTTCATTTTTGTACTCAATTTCGAACACTCATTGGCAAACTTTCAAACTCATCTATGGTACAAATGTTTTATATCAACAGTTGAAAACATTCTGTCTGACATGGAATATCAATAGCTGGAACTTCAAACAGATAGACAATGTGGTATGGGTGAATTATACAACTGCAACAGTAGTGTGATAGTTAAACACACTACTGCAATACAATTGTGATACAGGTATAACTAGCTAGATATCTACCTGCACTTCCTTGCATTATTTGATATGGCCTAATGGACCAGCAAGTCCAAAACATTCAACAGAATGACTGTGAAGATACTCAAGGGATGTCTGATACCAAATCATAAACTGTTTCCAAAGGATACCATGTCTCCTTAAGCAGGGTGTTTGGATCCAAATGAACAGTCCCTGTGCCACAAAGTGATCCTAGCTCCAAGGTGATTGTAACTCCCTAACTTTAACATTGACTTATGAGCAAGCGTATGGTTTTACGCCACTTTTAGCAATTTTCCAGCAATATCACAGCGGGGGGACACCAGAAATGGGCTTCACACATTGTACCCATGTCGGGAATCGAACCTGGGTCTTCCGCGTGACAAGCGGACGCTTTAACCACTAGGCTACCCGACTGTCCCACAGACTAATGACAGTCTCAGCACTAAGAAAACTTGGAATGGGGCCTAGAAAAGTAAATGATTACCAGCATATTATTAGTTTCATTATAACTCCTGACATATCATTAGTGTACCCCAAACATTATGGTAACAATTGATATACGAACATGTCACTGATTGCAGTCCATCGATAGTTTGAGAAATGGCTACACTCGCACAATGTGGCATCAGGTGAGTTTCACATCAGAATCGAGATTCGGATATCTAAACATCAACATATATTAATCATAATAAGATAGACCCACTTCTAACGGCAAATACTCGATGCCACAAAGGCACATGCTCAAATGTCATGACTATATTATCACTGGATCATTGTGCATTCAAATTGTGTTCTCAGCTCCCTTGGGAGTATACAACCCAGACTGCCTGTCAGAGATGTATTCCATTATCACAATGGCACAGATGGATGTTAGTTCACTTTACAAATTACATGAACCTCCTTCTTGTAGCCTTCAACAAACTGAGGGAATGTTTGACAATCTCATTTTAGTAACCACTACTTCATATATATATATATTAATAATAATAATAATAGTCCATTTATATGGCACTGTACTCCATGCATAAACATGCTCTAAGCGCTTTGACATCATTACCCCAGTCAGTGTGCACTCAACAATCATTCTCAGCTCCCTGGGGAGTATACAACCCAAGCTGCCTGTTAGGCGCAAGAAGGTTAACAACCACATTGCCATCAAATCCTACCTGGTACCCACTCACTGCTGGGTGAACAGAGGCACATTTCGAACAAAGTCACTTGCCCAAGGTGACACCACATGTGTTACATGTGCTTCAGTGTGGGGCAGGACCGAAGCCCTAGAAACTCTCAGGAGCCAAGCCCCCAAAACAAAGTCACCCATCCAAGGACTTCACCTGATTTGTGACCTGTGACCTGTGCGCTGCGCATAGGACCACGTGCCACATACACAATCATTACATATTGGTCAGAGTTATCTGGAAAATATAACTGACCTTTAGATACAACAAAATATTCACATTGTTAACATGGTTAACATAATATCATTAACGTGTTTGCATGAATGGAAATTAACCGTGATAAGCTCTGTCCTACAGTGACCAGATATCCAACAGGACAGTGCTTATCATAGCTTACATATAAATATATCCTGCAAATCAAAATAACAGATAACAGATTATCTGTCCATTGAATGATGATAGATGACCTGTAATCTATCATAATTTGTATCTGTGCTATCATAGCTTACATATAAATATATCCTGCAAAACAAAATAACAGATAACATATTATCGGTCCATTGAATGATGATAGATGACCTGTAATCCATCATAATTTGTATCTGTGCTCTCATGACTAAAAATATGCTAACACACAAAAATATGTTCAATTCCTGCAAATGAAAGAGGTTCAAGATGACTGAAATTGCTAGATTTGATAACATCGTCTTGTCCTATTTTTGACTTGTTTTCAGCACCTTTTGTAGATTTCTAGTCATGAATAATTCTGACAATGGATGATAATACTTGACTTTTCAGTTGTTTATAAAGCAAATAAACACTGACTTGTGTAGACAATCATGTGTTCTCCCTGGCAAGATATAAAGGTCATCTTCAAATCTCAAAAATCAACAGGACCATTTTTGTGTAGAAATGTGTACTTCTGATTATATCTTGAGATTCTTGAACATGGGGACCACAAATTTACATCTTATCAAGTCAAAAACTGTAACCACACCACATAGTGTGGCCAGTCAATGAAGACTCATTAAAGAGGGTGTTTTTCTCACTTGATATGTTTACGGATCTGAGGACAGGAACAGCATAATTGCTATGTTGTCTCAAAAGAGATTTAGACCCTTGACATTCTCTAAAACATTTTTGGATCCTGTTTTAGGAAGAGTTTGATAATCTAGAAGAAACACTGTATTTAATGTAAACTTCCAATCTCATTAAAATCAGATCTTAGCTCTCGTTACCGCTAGACAAAGATCTGAGGACATCCCATTACGGGTGACGTCAGACCGACCTTGCGTGAACTTTGACCGACCAATGGAATGACCAATCAGAAGGCAGCTTTCTCGTGCTTTACGGCACAAATTTCAAATTGGCGACTACGCTTCGAAGCATATTTTGACAAATTCCTGATTACAAATTTAAAACCTGAACAAAAAAACATTCTGGAATGACTAATAGATGGTCTAGATTGTAAGGATTCAGTCGTTAAACCCGTAACTATCGTTCGGAATACCCCACGTTAAAGTTTTCGAGATTGCATGATTAGAAATCACATTCCGACTGTCACTTTCATTATCTGGTAAGCGACCCACTGATTGGTCGGATGAAAGGTCGTTGTGACGTGACCCCTAATTGGATGTCTTTAGATCTTTGTTCAGCGGTAGCGAGAACTAAGATCTGATTTTAATGAGATTGTGTACACTTCTTAAGTGGCATTTACAAGTTGGAATGAGGAACAAGGGAAATAGTTCTATGGATATACAAACGTAAAAAAAGAAGTTGTATATCCATAAAACTATCAAAGAAAACGCACAACTTCATGGATAACCACATCTGATTTATTGCATATTGTGACATTTCGATGTAGATTCTTACACGGTTATCAACCTTGATAACGGTGTTAGAATCTACATCAGGACATAGCTATATGGCTAAAAACATAATAGTCTTGGTTGTGAGGCACCAACTGCATCATCATAAAGTCTGCCGGATGTTTTGCTTTTATTTCCATTTAAAAAAAATTAAAAAAATCCTAATACTTAAATACAATTGAAAATGGAAACAAAAAGAAACGTGCAACGAACTTTATGGTGATGTGGGCAGTGCCTGAGAACCAAGACTATTATTTTTTTAGCCTATGCCATAAAGCAGAAGTTGTTATCCATAAAGTTGTCCGTTTTTTACTTACTACCAACTTCTAAATGCCAATCAAGCATATAGAATTATCTCCCTTGTTGATGTACATTGTACTGACAGCAGACCCACAATTATGTGTAATACGTGTTCAGAACTGGAACCAAATACATGTACTAGCCTTGCTGGTAGTAGCTTAAGGTGTCATATTATTTTCTTGACAATTTAATTATTGTCTCTATTATGACATATCAGCTTGGGTTCAAAATCAAACATATATACAACCCATCAAGACTATTTTCTTTCACCTGACACCCTTAACAGATTACAAGAGACATTTTACCTGAAGTACGTGATAAGCTTTCAAAGATGGAAGAAAATTGTTGTTTATGGAGGATTTCATTGCCATAGATTCAGTCTCCATACCCAGTCTAAACCTAAAGTTAGTGCCCCATGTGAGAGACATGCTCAGCCTCAGGCCTTTTATTTTTTATTATTTGGTTTACAAAAGATTTGGCCAAAAATCCATGTAGGTGGTAAAAACAAAATGTCCAAACAAATGCAGCCACTAAATCATAACTACAAATGCATGAGAAACAGGTTTCAACATGGCAGGACACTGAGTTCGGTGTTGATCGTCAAGGGTTGACACTTGTTTCACCAGATTCCATAATCTTTGCAAAACTGACAAATATTTACAGCAAAAATCAATTTGTTGATCAAATTTCGGGACTTGATCCTATAGAAGTTTCAAGAACAATCACTTTCTAAATTTTGGTTTCATTCTTGAAACAGATATTGTCAAATGTCATTATTTTTTTCCATTTCATTTTTCTTTGATGTCAGCCGATTTTGTAAACCAGATACTAAATAATAAAAGGCTTTCAGATGAGACTGCAACAAGTTTGACACAGCACTGAGATGACAGATTGTTCATTGTGGGTTACACTCCATGTTGCCTCCCTGGTCCTCTGCGTACTTGTTGCAGATGATGCTTCTCAGCTGGTCCACCTCGCCGCGAAGCTCCGTCACCTTGGTCTGCCACTGCACAATGGTCTCAATCTCCGAGTTGCTGGGGCCGTCATCAGAGTAACCAGCTGACATTCCTGGAACAAGAGACACCTTGATTGTCAATATTTATTACAGAAAATGTGTAAGCGATTGATCACGAGTTAGATGTAGCTACTGTGGAGTTATCTCAATCTGAAATATAACAGCTACATCATGGTGGACGGTAGACAATGATCTCCACTGGCTAAATACATGATATTTTTATAGGCATCGATGAAAGCCGTGTTTTGGTCAGGTGGTGGTGGCCCTATGACGCAACATCCAATCTGTCTAAAGATACTGATGATAATCTGCAAGGTCACAGCTAGGTGTTGGTGGTGTGTGGTGTTGGTGGCCAATCCATGCACCATCCACACTGTCTGAAGGCACTGACACATCAGCAAGGTCACAGCCAGGTGTTGGTGGCCCATCCATGCACCATCCACACTGTCTGAAGACACTGACACATCAGCAAGGTCGCAGCCAGGTGTTGGTGGCCCATCCATGCACCGTCCACACTGTCTGAAGACACTGACACATCAGCAAGGTCACAGCCAGGTGTTGGTGGCCCATCCATGCACCATCCACACTGTCTGAAGACACTGACACATCAGCAAGGTCACAGCCAGGCGTTGGTGGCCCATCCATGCACCATCCACACTGTCTGAAGGCACTGACACATCAGCAAGGTCACAGCCAGGTGTTGGTGGCCAATCCATGCACCATCCACACTGTCTGAAGACACTGACACATCAGCAAGGTCACAGCCAGGTGTTGGTGGCCCATCCATGCACCATCCACACTGTCTGAAGACACTGACACATCAGCAAGGTCACAGCCAGGAATTAAGCCTTGTCTGGTAGTGGCAGTACATCCATCCACCATCCACATCATCCAGGCATTTAATGCTAATGTCCTTCCTTCAGAAACAATTCTATCTCACCTTTAGTGCCCAGGAGCATGGAAATGTTGGGATCCTCGCCATGCGCTCGCTGCATACACACTTGTACAAGTGACTGCAGCTCCGAGAAGCAGAAGCCCAGCTCGCGCATCAAGCGCCGCTGACGTTTGAGTGTCTCGTCTGTGCACTGCAGCTCCAGATGCTTCAGCTGCTCCTGCATGATGAGGTTGTGCTCCATCAGATCCTGGTTGGTGGAGCCCAGCTGTGAGCACAAGGTTACAGCTTAATTAGCAACACCTGAATACACACTGGAAATGATGAACGGCACTTACAGTTCATGAGACCAGACCAAAATAATTAGGCTTACAACTAAAAAACTAAAAGAATTGGTTCTCAGGAAATCGAAAGTATAATGCGAGTGGGTGGTGTTTATAAAATTATTTTGCTTGTTTAAACTAGTATGTTACAAAATAAACAGTTATGTGCAGTAAAGCAGTGCCCAGTAAAGCATTAAAGGGTAGTAAACTGCATGAAATATTGTATTGTTTTTAAATATTAGGATTTTTTGCTTTCTTACCGCTGAAATACGAGAAGGCAAGAGGATAAAAATAAACAAAAAAGAAACATTATCATTAAATTATCTATTAGTGCGCATTGCGCATTTATGATTACTGTATTTTCTTGTTTTGTAAATTCTTTTTTTTGTTGTGGGGTGGGGGGTGCTATCTTTTCAGTTCTGGTGAACTCTATGCTGGAGGAGAGTTGAAACAACAATCATGTCAAATTGTATGGTGGCTGAGAGGGGACATCGCTTCATCGACTTCAATTATGGCTGTGAGATTGCAATTAGTCAGTAACAGGAGACTAGAAAGTGATAACACGAGACAAGGAAGTGAGTGCTTCTCGCACAACAATATTGTGTTCTTGCCTCATGCTATCACTTTCTCGTCTCAAGATATCACTTTCTCGTCTCATGATATCACTTTCTCAGCTCATGATATCACTTAATCACAATTTCACAGCTATCATTGAAGTGTAAACTTGTAGATTTAAGGTTACATGATTCTAATTAGGCCCTTAGGATACTGTTAACATCAGACGGACTCCCACTTGCTGGCCTGTGTGAATTTCTTTGTCGCATGAGCTGTAATAAATTTCAGACTATTTATGCATAGTGACGGATTGTGTCAGTCTATATACCATGTGGGAGAGACTTGGAGCAGTCATTCTTGAGGCACAGATGATGCAGTAAGTTAACCAACCTCTTTCATAGCCTTCCTCAGGTCTTCAACCTGGGAATCTTTAGTGGCCACCTCTCCCCGTAGTGCAATCACCATCTCCTCCTCCTGGCTCACCCTCTCGCTCATCTGGCGAGCCTCACTCTGGTGCTTAGCCTCCAGGTGACGTAAACGCCGCACTGTCGTCTCAAGCAGCTGCAACAAATCATACTATCAAATAACACTACAACCTTCTAACAGTCTGCATGAACATTACTTGTTCCATTCCTGCTTCAACAGTACTTTTACCATTCCAAACAAGCTACAGAAAATGAAAAAAATTAGCAATTATAATTTGCATTTGATTTAACCAACATACTTTTTTCGCTTTCTCCAAGTCTATTGCCAATCTCTCCTTTTCCTCCCGCATCGCTTGTGCTTCCACTTCCGCCTTGTAGAGGGCAGCACCTGATCCTTCCGACCTTAGCCTCTCCACGTTGTCTGTGGCCTCGTTCAGGCGTTCAAGCATCTGGTGCTCCCTCTCACTCATCTCCCTCAGGTCCATCTCCCGGGACGACAGAGTCTGCTTGGTCTGCATCAGCTTCTTCTCCAGGTCCTCCAGCGTGGCCCGGTAAACAGCTCGCTCCTCTCGCAGGGCAACCAGGTAATAAGTCAAGAAACATAACACTGGAATGTCTAGTGCATAGACTTGCTCATGGGTACAGAATTTATACCATGTCTGTCGTACCTGTATCTCAGACTGTCAGACAAGATTTCTGCATACCGTATTCGATGTAATAAGCGCCCTGCTCTAATAAGCGCCCACGGCGATATTTGCTAATATATTGGCTAGTGAACAATCCCAATCAGCACCCCTTCCGATTGATCAATGTACACAAGACTTATTTATTCGTGTATAATACGCACTTGTGTGTTATATCACCCTTAATTATGGGCAATTAAATTCTTGAAAAATATATCTGTCGTATGAAAACATTTCAGGCTGTTAGCATAAACCACGAAATTTACGATCTTTCAACTCAAAATAATATTCTAATAAGCGCCCCCTATTTCTAATTTTGAGAGCACCCTGGGCGCTTATTACGTTGAATACAGTAATTGTGGTCTGTCTACACATTGAGAATTCTTGTGTGTGTATATATATTCACCCAACAATATCCAGCTATAAAACGTTGGCCTGTAAATAATCAAAACTGGACGAGATAAACCAATGACTGATATTAAGACCAACATCCCTTGTCACTGGAGTACAATGATACACAACCATTGGGTATCATAGTAGAAGAGGCTAAAAAAGGGAGATGGGTGGGTTTAATGCCACTTTGAAAAATAGTTCAGTTCATGGGTATGATGCTGACAAAGTATGATAATCGGGACAGTCAGGGAATTGGACACCTGAGCAGCGAATCCTGGCAAGCCAACTCTGCATTGCAAATTCTAGAGACACCGATTGATTGATTGGTTGATTGGTTGGTTGGTTGGTTGGTTGGTTGGTTGGTTGGTTGGTTGGTTGGTTGGTTGATTGATTGATTGGCCGAGTGATTGGCCGAGTGATTGGTCGAGTGAGTGAGTGAGTGAGTGAGTGAGTGAGTGAGTGAGTGAGTGATTGATTGATTGATTGATTGATTGATTGATTGATTGATTGATTGATTGATTGATTGATTGATTGATTGATTGATTGATTGATTGATTGATTGAATGAATGAATGATTGATTGAATGATTGATTGAATGATTGATTGAAAGGATATTTCTTTAGCCATTTGAGCTTTCTCCTCCACTGTAGGCAAGTCAGCCAGGTAGCGCTCTAGACTGTCTAAGTTGGCCTTCATGCTCTGATGGTTCGACTTCATCTCCTGAAACTTGGACCGCCATTCTTCCACCTCACGTTGAGCATCAACCAACTTGAAGGCAAAACATATCAACCATCAGTGAACGATTAGCGTGTAGACACAACATGAAAGTGTATTTTCCTGTGACACCATAAAACTACTGCTGATAAGAAAGAAGACTTGTAATCAAATACTTTCATACTTTGCTGATAACAATGAAATGTCAAAAATGTCTCTTTAGTTGGGTCCAATGTACATGTGGACTGAAGTACTTTAGATTTCCAACTTAACTCTGTCTACCAAAACATCAAAAAATTTCAAATTGACATACAACACAAAAGATCAGGACCTGACTCATCACATGGCCCACATATAGTTTCCTGCAGTCACTAAAGGTTGTCTGGCCCTCCATCCTTTGTGTCTGAGCATGTTATACAACCTAAAGGTTTGTTTATACCTCCAGGGAAATACTGTTTTAACTATCTACATGCTCTTAGGAAGAGATACTTAGAGTGTGAAAAATAACACTGACTAGTCAGTATAACTGCAGCTGGCAGAGGACAATTCTATCCAGTGCCTCAACTTATCTTTACTTGAGCCTTGACTTTGGCCTGAGCCATTAGTGACCTTGACCTGATCGATAACTGACCTTGGCCTGAGCCTCAACTGACCTTGGCCTTAGCCTCAACTGACATTGGCCTGATCCATAACTGAACCTTGGCCTTAGCCTCACCTGACATTGGCCTGATCCATAACTGAACCTTGGCCTTAGCCTCAACTGATATTGGCCTGATCCATAACTGAACCTTGGCCTTAGCCTCAACTGATATTGGCCTGATCCATAACTGAACCTTGGCCTAATGCTCAACTGACATTGGCCTGATCCATAGCTGACCTTGACCTTATGCTCAACTGACCTTGGCCTAATCCATAACTGACCTTGGCCTGAGTCTCAACTCACCTTGGCTTGAGCCTCTCTCACGTGAACCTCCTTGTTCCTCAACACAGACTTTAGCTGCATCACCTCATGCTCTGCAGCACTGGAAAATTATATCACTCGCATTCAAAATTGCAATCAAATTATCCTCTTTGTATCAGCGCTATTACTATCATATGCTTATGTTCGTGTATGGGTGATATGACGGTCATTGCACTATGATCAGTGGCAGACACCTGTAAACATAATCACTTGACCTTGTTTAAAATGAACAAGAGCAAGGCAGGACAGTACAACACAACAAATACACACTGCAGTACCTCATGGTACTGAAGTATTTCACATAGGTGGGTGACTGTGGTAAGTAAGTGAGTGAATCAGCGTTAGAAACTGGCACTAGTCCTGTAGTCCTTACCAAACTGCCCAATAGTAAAGATATCCTAAGGACTAGAAGAAAATGGCCCATTTTAAAGGTTTTGCTATATGTTATCATTATAAGGACTAGTGGGCCAAAACTGTTAGTTTCTAACCCCGTGAATGTTAACACAAGCAGTAATATTCCAGCTGTCACCACGGCCTGTAAATAATCAAGTGAGTATGGTTTTACGCAGCTTTTAGCAATATTCCAGCAACACCAGGGGGACACCAGAAATGGGCTTCACACATTGTGCCCATGTCTGGAATCGAACCCACGTCTTCAGGCATGACGAGCCAACGCTTTAACCACTAGGCTACCCGACTGCCCCGTAAATAATCAAGCCTGGCCCAAGTAAACCAGTGGTGGACAGATGACCAAAGATTCATCCTTTAACATACATTGACACACAATCAGCTAGGTTATATATAGTACATGTTGTAAAATATTGCATTTGATTATTATTTATCACAAAAAGTTTGTTTCTGTTGTTTTATAAATTTAAACATTTTTTATGGACTGGTCGTTTATTGTGGGGGGGGTTACATGTGGGGGTGGGGGGGAAGGTCAAAATATAATCCAGTCCAGAGACTAATGTCACCCCATAATAATTGACTAGTCCCTTAGTAGTTGTTTTTCTCTGCATTCAGGCAGACTACAGTGTCACTGAAGCATATGACACCCAATGTATCATGCTGTCAAGTTATATCATGTACAAGTCTTTGCTGTTGGAGCACTACAGAAACTTACTGATATCTAAGGTGAGGTAAAATGGGGCTTAATGCGCATGTAAGATTATTGCACTAATATAGCAACATGCATGCGTGCGTGTGTGTGTGCATGCATGTGAGTGTGTGTGTGTCTGTGTGGCCGCTTGAACTATTCCAGACTAATGCTGGTTTTATAGCTCTTACCCACCGAGATACCATGCCACAGTTTACTATGAATATCCACTCAGACACAGTAAAATGACACTGAGCCGATCAGTCCTTGTTTTATCCCCACAATATCAAAACAGCAGGCAGGGAAACAACAAGTACATCTTTTGGTATGACACGACCAGGATCAAACTATCGAGGTTCCGTTCACTGGGAAAAACACTCTATTCACAAAACCAGAGAAGCAGTCCTACTGGTAACTTAAAGTATTTATAATGTTTTAAGACATGTTTGAGGTAATAGATTTGTGGGTACTTTTTGCTAGGCTAGAGGTTCCAAATGGAAGTTCCACACACAGAACACATACCGTATTCGACGTCATAAGCGCCCAGGGCACTCTCAAAATTACAAAAAGGGGGCTCTTATTAGAATATTATTTTGGTGAAAAAAAAAACCCCGTTAAAAGATGAATTTCTTGGTTTATGCTGACAGCCTGAAATGTTTATATACGACGGATATATTTTTCCAGAATTTAATTGCCCATAATTAAGGGTGCACATAACACACGAGTGCGTATTATACGCGAATAAATTAGTCTTGAGTACATTGATCAATCGGAAGGGGTGCAAATTGGGATTGTTCACAAGCCAATATATTAGCAAATATCACAGTGGGTGCTTATTAGAGCGGGGCGCTTATTACGTCAAATACGGTAGTGTTATCACCTGAGTGACCTACCCTAACTTGATTTCCATCTCATCAATCTCAGCATTCTTTTGGGACTTGCTGTCAATAATATCTGTCCTCATAGCACTGTTCTTGTGTTGTAGTTCCTGGAGGCCATGGAGGAATAGCATTTACATCACACAAATGAACCGACTGATTAAAATATGTAGATACTCCTACATGAAGAGTAGATTGAATATTATCAGGTATTTGACAGTGTCGATGACCTACTTTCAACATTGTTTTTTTCCATTTATATAAGGTACTCAGCATCTCCACGGAAAAGAGATTGACATCTTAACAGTGAGTGAGTGAGTGAGTATGGTTTTACGCCGCTTTTAGCAATGTTCCAGCAATATCACGGCGGGGGACACCAGAAATGGGCTTCACACATTGTACCCATGTCGGGAATCGAACCCAGGTCTTCGGCGTGACGAGCGAACGCTTTAACCACTAGGCTACCCAACCGCCCCTTACATCTTAACAAGACCTTCCTTTGTAGAGTGACTGTAATCTTGAAATATGAAATAAGAGACTTGAAATGAAGACAAAAGGCTGTTTTTACATGTTCTAAATATTATTCCACATTTCAAAGTAGACACAATTTATGGACAACAACTTCTAATGGCAACCCTCATGTCAACGTTTGGGCATAGGTCCTATTTACTAATGAACATGGTATAGAATATATAGGGTAGGTGGAGGATTAACAGTAACAGTGTCCCATCATGTTGTTACAGTATTATCCATCTGTTAATCTCTCTGAAATGTTTCTGTTAATCCTCCACCTACCATATATATTCTGTACCATGTTCATTATTCAGCCTTGCTTGACAACGGTATAAGGAGCATCATTGCAGTGAAATAAAGGAATTGATATATAAATTGTGTCCACTTTGTTAACCGTCAACTTCTAAGACATAGAGAATCTCACCCGAGTGTCTTTTGATATCAAATATGTCAACACGAGTTGCTAAAAGTGGAAAACTTCTGAGGCTTGCCGAGGATTTTTGCCACTTTTATCAACGAGTGTTGATATATTTGATATCAAAAGACACGAGGGTGAGATTTTATTTATCATCCAACATCATTCTTTCAACTTTTTCAATTTGTAGACAGTAATTAGCAGTCTCTTCAGTGTAAAAAGTACTGCTAACAGCTTCAGTAGCAGAGCCATTAGTGATGTAATTTGATTGTGACGTCATGGTAACCAGTGATGTCACAATGGTCTGCAAAGCATTGTGATGTAATTTCATTGCAGCGATATCTACAGTGTAGATATCGCTTGATCTCATCCAAGCGATATCTCCTGTGGGAGCCAGTTTTGGATGATAAATGCCTATCAAACAATTTATTCTACATATGTTCTGTACTTGTGATAGCTTTGGCGAGTGGATCCATAGACCAAGGATGGTCAAGACTTGCCATATACTCAACATATTCACCAAGTAGACTTATAGTAAAAAGGAAAGACAGCTCCTGCACTGGGTTCCCAGTTTCCAAACTCCTGTACCTGTATTTTGAGATGCAGCACATCATCTCGATCCTCCTTGCTGATGATGGCACTACGCAGTTTGTTCTCACATATACTCAAGTCTTCCTCCATCATAGAGATCTTGCTCTTCAACCTGGTGGGAGAAACAAGAACAATCTCACAATAATGTGACAGCTGCGTCTCGTCCACACAGACACACTCAAAATACTAAAATCAGATACAAGTTCTCGAAACCACTGAGGACATCCCATTACAGGTCACGTCAGAATGACCATTCGCAAACTTTGACCGACTAATGAAATGAATAACAGAGGTTCGACATTAGCCACTAAGAAAGCAGCTTTCTTGAGCTTTGAGGTACTAGTTTAAAATGTCAACTTCCATTCCAGACTATACTTTTAAAAGTATTTTGAATCAGTTATACAGCTCGTAACAGTAGTTTTGTGTTAAGCTTTAGAGGTTGCATGATAAGAAAACATATTCTGCTAACAATGTAACATAATAATATATGAATATTTAATTTTTTTATTGCGTGTTTGTATCGTTATCTATCTTTTCAATCAAGATCGTTGATACTACAGTAAACTATGGTTATGATGAACCTCAAAGGGACCACTAATTATAGTTCGTAATAACCGTAGTTCATTATAAGCATATGTACAGTATATAACCAACAAATGGCCGGGACTAAAAAATAAGTTTGTTATGTTGGTCAGTTCGTTATAAGCGTGTTCGTTATAAACGAAGTTAACTGTATTTAATTTTGTTTATCGTTATTCTGACATAACTGGGGGCACGGGTGGCCCAGTCGTCTAAGGAGCTGCGATTCGCTGTGCAGAGTTGCGTCCCTTGGGCACGCCAGAAACCTATGATTGTGGGTTCGAATCCCGGTTCGCCCCGATTATGTTTCTAGGTTTGTCAGCACCATACCCGTGTTCATGGGTTTCACTAAAGTGGTTAACGTATGAGACCTGCATCACTTCGGGCTTTCCTCCCACATTAAGCTGACACGCCGTGATATAACTGGAATAATGTTAAAAGCGGCGTTAAACACAACTCACTCACTCACTCTGACATAACTGTATGCAACCAATCATGTCAGATAAATGGGACATGATCACAGAGTGTCAGCTTGATGTATGTGTAGCGAGGCGTGGAGTCATCCCACAGATGACATCCTTACTGTGTCAGCTGCTGACTAGGTCAACCTCTTTGGTGGACGATGTGGACAAGGCGTCCAACCTGAGGTCAGAATGTCAATGGTTTGAAACCCATCACAGACATTATGGCTGCTCCATATGCAATACAGGTCTGATGATATCACTTCCAGTTTGTGCCATTGCAAGTGGGACTCATGACACAACCTTATAAGGCTGTGATAAGTTGGACATCAGCTAGTTAAAACATGTCACAATAGTTTCACAAGAACCTGGACAGTGACTTTTACCTTTGGCTGTAGAGTAAATTGATATCTTAGACTAGGTCAGTAGGTGTATGTTAAAATTTAGTGTAAACATCATTGTTTTCTGTTATCTTGTGACTTTGATCTTTGACATTGTCATCACAATTGGCAGAAGAACTCCTCATGGCTACGATGATATAGAGTAGACTATCCTTTAATGTCAATGATGTATGGACAAAATCAAAAAGGAGTGCCATTTCACAGGGATTTATTTTATGAAACAGGAAAAAGGGTCCTTCAGGGCCCCTTTGGCTCTAGTAAGGGTAGTGGTTGATTCAGGGCTGAGAGCCAAACAAGAGCAACTTACTTGTGTATGATCATATTCTTTTCCTTGATAATGCTGTCGGCCGCCCTTCTGACTGGGTCCCACTGGGTCTCATCCTCATCCTTCACAGACAGCTGCTGGAACACTCCCTCCATCCCAACCTGCCGAACCCCCTTGTTGTACACACTCTGAAAGACACCTCACAAACATCACGTCTCGTCCTTCACAGACAGCTACTGGACCCAAGCTGTAATTCCCTATCTGATCATAATACTGCTGTTGATCCCAGACACTATTTCCCTAGCTGCTTATCATAATACCGCTGTTGAATCCTGACACTATTTTCCTACCTGCTGATCCTAATACTGCTGTTGTTCCCTGACAATTTTTGTACCTGCTATTCATAATACTGCTGTTGATCCCAGACACTATTTCCCTAGCTGCTTATCATAATACCGCTGTTGAACCCTGACACATTTCCCTACCTGCTGATCATAATACCGCTGTTGAACCCAGACTCTATTTCCCAACCTGCTGAACATAATACCGCTGTTGATCCCTGACACTATTTACCTACCTGCTGATCCTAATACTGCTGATCCTAATACTGCTGTTGATCCCTGACACTATTTCCCTACCTGCTGATCATAATACCGCTGTTGAACCCAGAGGCTATTTCCCAACCTGCTGATCCTAATACCGCTGTTTATCCCTGACACTATTTCCCTACCTGCTGATCATTATACCGCTGTTGATCCTTGACACTATTTCCCTACCTGCTGATCATATACCGCTGTTGATCCCTGACACTATTTCCCAACCTGCTGATCATTATACCGCTGTTGAACCCTGACACTTTTTCCCTACCTGCTGATCATATACCGCTGTTGATCCCTGACGCTATTTCCCTACCTGCTGATCCTAATAGTGCTGTTTATCCCTGACGCTATTTCCCTACCTGCTGATCATTATACCGCTGTTGATCCCTGACACTATTTCCCTACCTGCTGATCATAATACTGCTGTTGATCCCTGACACTATTTCCCAACCTGCTGATCATTATACGGCTGTTGAACCCTGACACTTTTTCCCTACCTGCTGATCATATACCGCTGTTGATCCCTGACACTATTTCCCTACCTGCTGATCATAATACTGCTGTTGATCCCTGACACTATTTCCCTACCTGATGATCATAATACTGCTGTTGATCCCTGACACTATTTCCCTACCTGATGATCATAATACTGCTGTTGAACCCAGACACTATTTCCCTACCTGCTGATCATAATACTGCTGTTGCTGTGTCTGCCACTGTCTCATGTCTCCCTGGCTGCTGAATCCAATTTTCGGAAGTTGGTGGAACTCAGACAGTGTTGATGTCTTGCTGGGAGGTGTCTTGTAGCCACTCTGAAGGTCATGGCCGCTCCGACTGGGTGGTGTCTTCATGTCCATGTAGTCCTCATCATACTGGAGTTTGTCCTCCACAGGAAGCTGGTCGGGCATGTAGGCCTCTTGGATTCTGCATGAACACATACTCATGACATCAGACCATAACAAGTGTGGACATAACAAGTGTCGTTGTGGACCATAACGAAGAGTTTGTCGTATCAGGTGGTCAGGCTCGCTGACTTGGTTGATGCATGTCATCTATCCCAATTGCGTGGATCGATGCTCATGATAATTATCACTGGATTGCCTGGTCCAGACTCGATTATTTACAGACCGCCGCCAAATAACCCCAATATTGCTGAGTGCGGCGTTGAACAACAAACAAACAAAACAAACAAACAGAAGAGTTTATTTAACAAATATGTGACGAGTGGGACTTGTTTATCTTACAATACTGCAGGCAGAATAAACCATGTGGGGCGCAGAAGTTGAATAAAGCTATTCCACTTTAATTTAATAACATTATTTCACTCAAATGAAACAACACTTAATACTGGAACAACTTTCAGTTGGCCTCAATGATACATGGTTGGTTGGTTGGTCTGTTGTTTAACACCGCACTCAGCAATATTCCAGCTATATGACGGCGGTCTGTAAATAATCGAGTCTGGACCAGACAATCCAGTGATATATATCATGAGCATCGATCCTCGTAATTGGGGTCGATGACATGCATCAACCAAGTCAGCGAGCCTGACCACCCGATCCCGTTAGTCGCCTTTTACGACAAACATAGTCGCCTTTTACGGCAAGCATGGGTTGCTGAAGATCTATTCTACCCCGGATCTTCACGGGTCCAATGATACACGGAGAAGGCACACTCTGGGGCAATGGTGACTAAGTTTTACACAAACATTAAGCAAAAATAATTTTTTCTTCACCATTTTATAATATATGTTGATTTAAATAAGCAGAGTTTTCAAAAATTGAAAACATGTAGATAAAATATACCATATTTGACGTAATAAGCGCCCACGGAGCTCTCAAAATTAGGAATAGGAGGTCTTATTAGAATATTATTTTGGTGAAAAACACAGAGTTAAAAGAACATAAGTTTCATGGTTTATGCTGACAGCCTGAAGTGTTTATGTACGACAGATATATTTTTACAGAATTTAATTGCCCATATTTAAGGGTGCATATGACACACGAGTGCACATTATACACCAATAAATAAGTCCTGTGTACATTGATCAATCGGATGGAGTTCTAATTGAGATTGTTCACTAGCCAATATATTAGCATATCGCCGTGGGCGCTTATTAGACAGGAGCGCTTATTATGTCGAATATGGTATGTGTAATTTGTTGAAGGTGTGACTAATTGTTACATGTCTGTCGATGAAGATAAACATGTTATTTGACAACAAATATTTATTATATAACTAGCAGGAATCTATCAGTGACAAAGATCCTCATCTTTGCCAAGATCCACTACTAAACCAACATCATTCTCAAGTGAACATTACCATGATTACGCCGATAAAAAATGCCGAAATAAAAATGAAATACTGTTCAAAGTATAATATACACACCTCACTCTCTCACAAATATAACAATAATTCACAGCCTTTTCACAGAGGGAAGTCATCTGACTGACCTGTATATAGTTTCCCCCTCTCTGGTGGAGTACTGCACAGCACGTTCACTAGGCATGCTAGGGTGGATGCCATCATTGAACTGGGACTCAGGGTAGAGAGTTGACCCCGCGACCAGTCCGTACTTGGAGGGGTGGTAGCCAAGGTGCTGTCCCCCAAGCTTCTGTGGGGAGTTGACTGGGTGTCGGACCACGGGGGATGGCACTAAAGTCTGTGCATCCTCCAAATGAGGTGCCTCCCTCCATCCTTCACACAGATGAAAGGTATTACATTACATTTCTTTCCCTCATAGCCTTTTTTGTAGCATATTCTGATAAGACATTTTCACCATGCTTAATCTCTAATTTTTTTAAAACTGCACAGGCGTAAGATAATGGTGCCCATGACAATGCTTGAGGGTATGTAAGACCACATGCTTCATAGAATGTCTGTCTGCCACAGTTTAACCACAGCAAGGCTAAAAAAAATAATAGTCTTGGTTCTCAGGCACCACCCACATTATCATAAAGTCTGTCGCATGTTTTGTTTTTTATTTCCATTTAAAAAAAAAAATCCACAAAAAAATCCTAATTCTTAAACATAATGCACAAAACAATTGAAAATGGAAACAAAATACGTGCAATGAACTTTATGATGATGTAGGCAGTGCCTGAGAACCAAGACTATTATTTTATTTAGCCTAATATACCTGTGGTGAGGTGAAATGGGATTTAACATCGTGTTCAGGACTACTGCACCTATATATAGCGACATTCATGCATGTGTGTGTGGCTACTTGTACTTGTCGGGACTGATGCCACTTTTACTGTGCAAGCTCACAGAGAAACTATGCTGCATCTTAACATGAACACCTCACTTAGGCACAGTATATTAACTCTGAGCAGACCAGTCCTTGTATCCCCTTAATGACGAGCCAAGGCAGGGTAACAACAAGTACCATCTTTTAACGTCTTCTGGTATGACGTGCTGGGATTGAACCACTGACCATCTGGTCTTCGGGCAGCACTCTATCCACTACACCCTAGAGGAGGTATGTTTGACACATGTCTAAAGCATGAACAGAGTTTGTCTAATCATCTAAGTCTGAGAGCATTAGTGAGTGAGTTGGGTTTAACGCCGCTTGTAACAGTATTCCAGTTATATCACGGCGTGTCAGCTTAATGTGGGAGGAAAGCCTGAAGTGAGGCAGGTCTCAGACGTTTACCACTTCAGTGAAACCCACATGCACGGGTATGGTGCTGATAAACCTAGAAACATAATCGGGGCGAACCGGGATTCGAAACCCACAATCATAGGTTTCTGGCGTGCCCAAGGGACGCAACTCTGCACAGCGAATCGCGGCGCCTTAGACGACTGGGCCAGCCGTGCCCCCTCTGAGAGCATTAGTTACCAGCAGACCTGTGAAGATCTCGGGTAGAATAGGTCTTCAGAAACACATGCTTGCCATAAAAGGCGACTATTTTTGTCGTAAGAGGCGACTTGCGGGATCGGGTGGTCAGGCTCGCTGACTTGGTTGATGCATGTCATCGTATCCGAATTGCGTGGATCTATGCTCATGATGTCAATCACTGGATTGTCTGATCCAGATTCCATTATTTACAGACCGCCGTCATATAGCTAGAATATTGCTGAGTGCGGCATTAAACAACAAACAAACAAACAGTTACCTGCATTAGAATACTGAGGAGCCTGCAGCATCTTCTGATAATCTGGAACACACAAACAACAGGGATAAAACTGTATTCTATTTCAAGTGTGACACAGGCCACTCACAAAGACATTTAGGTGAGTTGTAGAATTTAAGAAGGCCAGGCGTTTTACATTTTTCGGATTACAGACCTGCCGACTCTAATTTTTTAGAAAATGTAAAAATAAATAATCAGATTTCCATTTTTTTTCCCCCACCGATAGACACGATGTCAGTTATTTTATTTGTTATCATCACCTTTTAATAAAAAATATATGAATTTACCGTTGTAAACAAATAAAGAGATACATAATCGATCTTTGTTGATCTCGAAGCCGAACATGAATGGCCTCCCTTGACAATTATCTGTGTTGTAAGTGGTAGACTTTTTACTGTTACAAGGGGCTATATTGTCACAAATAGTGGTCTTTTGAGCACAGAATATGTTCATTAAGTATGCCAAAGGCATTCTGCATTAAAAGAAATGAATCTGGCTTTTTTCTTTTTTGTTCCCTCCTCCAACCCTGGACTTACTCCAAAAATCCGTAATCCTAAAAATAAAAAAAACCTGGCCTAAGTGTGGCAAAACTGGGACTCTGTTACGCTGTATGGCTGTGAGTGTAAACATGAAGTCACACGTACTAAATATAATTGTGTTTAGATCTAGGTCATATCCTTTGACAGAGCTCCAGCTAAGCTTTTGGTGTTGTGGGTATTTTACCTATGCATTTTAAAATCATTGGGTATCAGTAATTCTATCTGGGTATTCAAATTTCTGTTTCCCACTAGTTTTTACACATGTGGGTATTTAAGTTAAATATGTAAAAACACTATTCATCTAGGCCCTGCAAACTGGTTTCGTGTGGGTTCGAGAGCTTTATAGGACTCAAAAATACCACGATACTTCCACAAGAAAGTGTGATGGCAAATGATCATGATGTAACAGTCATCGTGGAGTTTGGCAAGGTTGACGGAATGCCCGTTTATAATTTCAAAATAAGTTGCTGATTTGCTAATCGAATACTTCACTTCACAATCGTTACTTCACAATATTTTGATGATACTCACAAGTTTTATTTTTGTAGCATATCTGTGATGTTCGTTGCGTATTTGATACACTTGGATTTTATTTTACTGCGTATTTCTGCATTTCTGATGCGTATTTTACGCAGATATGCAGCTTATCTGGAGCTGTGTTTGAGGTAAAAAATAGTGATATAAAATACTATAAGAATTGAGTGAGTGAGTGAGTTGGGTTTAACACCGCTTTTAACAGTATTCCAGTTATATCACGGCGTGTCAGCTTAATGTGGGAGGAAAGCCAGAAGTGATGCAGGTCTCAGACGTTTACCACTTCGGTGAAACCCACGAGCACGGGTATGGTGCTGACAAACCTAGAAACATAATCGGGGCAAACCGGGATTCAAACCAAAACCATAGGTTTCTGCCGTGCCCAAGGGACGCAGCTCTGCACAGCGAATCGCAGTGCCTTAGACGACTGGGCCACCCGTGCCCCTACTACAGTGATCGCTCGCTATTGCGCTACCAATGGGGTCCAAATAATTGGTGGGCGTTATAGACGATGAGCCGTTTAACCGAGGCCGAGGCGGGGGAGCGCGCTCGGCAAATCTCAAATCATCAATAGGCCTATGTGTTTATCTCACGTCACGTCAAAATAGTATATATTTTTATGGACCTAGATCTACCTGTAATATCATTCATTTATTAAATCTGTCATATTTCACAATGTCTGAAATACGTATTCCATTCTAATTTATCATTTTTTATCAATAAATTAAAAAAATATTCACTATTTCCCGCGATGTTATTGAAAATAAAATTCTGGGACACACATTTCGACAACGGGTCCGCATCGAACATGTCAAAGAGCAAAATAAAGACTATTTTAAGCAAATCTTTAAATATATTATACAAAGTGATAAATAAAATCAACAAAAATATATCTAAAAGTAATCAAACTTACATCTAAGTTATTATTTCCATCGTTTCGTGCGATCGCGTGTAATGTAGGTCAAATGACATCTATAAGAATTGACTTTCAAGCAAGCTCCGATGTTCTTACAGCTTGCCCCTCACTCTATGAAGGTTCATACTCCAATGAACCCACAAAAAAGGGAGGTCAGTTCTTAATTATGCTAGAGAGATACATAAAACCAGTATCAGGTATATTTGGGGTCAAACGATACATCAGTGCACCCTGAGTTTTCATCACGTTCATGTCACGATACAATACACGATACGCTTTTTTTCTGTATCTATACAGGACAATTCATTTGTTACAATAAATAATTTACTACTTGTTTAATGACCCTAGCCCATCAGTTTTGTCAGTCAAAAATTGCAAAGTGTAAAATTAGATTTTCAAGTTCACAACTTTAAAAAAGCCGCTCCGGACATGCTGTGTCTACAGCTAAATTTTCCTTTTGAACATTCTCTGAAATATTTAGTCAAGAGGTTTCTATTTGACGTGACATAAATAAATGTATCGCGATATGTATCGCATCGTGACCTATGTATCATGATACGTATTGTATCGTGAACTTGCTGTATCGTTTCACCCCTAATGTATACATCGAGCTGTACGTCTACGTTAAACATGTTAAAGTATGGGAGTTACAATCATCTTAACACTGAGAGCTTTGTGAGAGGTACCAAGAAAATGAACTGTCACGACTTCTATCTTCCACTAGGCAACAAAAACTTACGACATCATTGTTCTATAAAAATAATTTCAAAATAAAAAACCAACAAACCTGGAACATTTGTTGAGTGAGAAGGGGGGAGTCCCATGTCTCCCTGCCATGACATGGCTTGTTGTAGACACCTGCCTGGGTGAAGCCTGTCCCACAATCACCACGCCTCATCGAGTTTCACCCCCCATGGTCTGCAACAAGCATGTGGAGCTGATAGTTGTTACACCAAACTGGATCAAGTGCTGATCACAATGTTAATTACAGGCCCCGCACTCCACTGCACACAGCTGTGACTCTGTAATCCAGATTTCAGTTGATTTAATCTGGAAGAATAACACCCCAATATCAGGTTTCAACACAATGCATTGTATAAGAACATATAGCAGGTTCTCATGGTTAGAATTGCTGCTAAGCTCCTGTAGTTATAGTGGCTGTGATTGCAAGTTTGTCACTCAGTCTGATCACTATCAAAGAAAATTAGTTTCAGACCTTGAGTCATCCACCATTTGTGCTTAAGAGAGAGTAGAATTACAATGAGCTTATGAATTCAGTGGAAATCACAAAGGAATATAATGTATATGAAAAGAAACAAAAAAATACTGATAAGTAAAGGTTTGAACAGAGTTTCAGTTGAGATCCTGCATGTTTTTTTCAAGTTCATCCACAAAAAAGTGATTATACTTTCGATAAGTCATATTCAATGCAGTAATTTTTATCAGTCTCTACTAGCTCTGACAAAATCATCCAAGTGGCTGTAACCAAATTTCTTAATCTCTTCATAACACAGTCCTAGACAAATTCTGTGATTCTGCAATTACAGAAATATTTGCAGAAAATGGAACCACTCCTGCAGGATTGCCAAATAAAAGTCCTTGAATTTACCCATCAATTTTCAATATTTTCAATTTTTTTTGATCAAATTATGCACTTGACAGATGACCCAAAATTTAAAAAGCAATTCAAACATACAAAATATGAATCCTTCAATAAAACTGAATTTGAAATGATTAACTCTGACTTTAAAACGTTCTTGTGGTATTATGACTACAAAAACTACATCTAACCATAGATAAATGTCAGTGACACTTTGCATATTTCTTATCCAATGATGACTGTTTATCTTGACAGTTTGGGGAATTATTTCGTTTCGGATTTGGATTCGCATTTTTGAAAAGATTAGCATATATATTTTAGGGGAAAATGGTTATGTTTTTACCACAGAATTTTGTAATTTGACTGCAGAATTCATGTTGGAGTGATAACATATTTTAATCAACAAGAATTAAGTGCATGACAATCTTTGTAATCGATATCGATATCAGTTTCCACCCTTGCCGAACTAGGCTGGAATTCCTGGACTCGATCGTAGTGCCACCAGTGGTTATTACGAGTTATGACCCTTCTAAACCTCTCCTATGGACCAATCAGATTCCCCCTTTTGTGTCACTTGCATTTGATTCAAACAATATGACGGCGCACAGTCAAGACGATCTGATCAATAATCAAGATCTATATTGTGATAAAACGAGTCTTACATCGTGAAGTGCAAACATTGTTTGGCAGCGGCACCAAGAATAGGGATGAAAAATTACTGCCGTCTTGTTGGCAGATTAAGATAAATAAAAATCAATCTAAATTTTTGTTCCAGTCTCATGAAAGTTTACATAACAGGTTTCATCTGTAATCCATGCCTCTCGAAACAGCTTAATAAACCACAAAAGGATTTCTTCTATAAGTAAATACTTACAGTATGAGTGAGGAGATTAGGGGTAGGAGATTGGATATTTGCAAAACATCTTACGAACAATGTCTTTTTATGGATTAAATGTTTTCATGAAAAAAAACTCTGTTCAAGTGAAGTATAAAATTACATTGAGATCTAGTTTACTGAAACATGTTAAAGTTCTTGTGATCATTGGAAACCTATGACATTATCTCAAGTCCGAGACAATCATGTACAATTGGGGTGCTGACATCAGACTGAGTGAGTATGGTTTTACATCGCTTTTAGCAATATTCCAGCAATATCATGGCAGGGGACACAAGAAATGGGCTTCACACATTGTGCCCATGTCGGGAATCGAACCCGGGTTTTCGGCGTGACGAGCAAACACTTTAACCACTAGGCTACCCAACCGCACAGCTGACATCAGATCCTACTTTTGATAAAGATTCTGCTGGTATCATTAAGTTACTTATCTCAAACAATATATGAAGGTTAATAAAGGTTTCACTGACGATTGTCCATTCTCATGAATATGCATGATAAATATTATATACCTGAAACATCAGGACAGTGACCTGTCTTATTGTAAATGATAATTTTTACTCATATGTGATTTTTAGTAATAGAATAACTAACTATAGTCTGCCATTTAAAATATTCAAGTATGTCCTTTTACAGACCCTGAAACAAATATATCCAATACAGCCCATGCAAGTCAGTAATCCTTGGCAGAGGCCATATAATTGTATATCGTTGGCAAGTCTAGATTAATTCAGTTTCCCTTGTATTATATCATATTATGATAATTTAACAGCATTCTTTTTCAGTAAAATATTTTATTTCAGAGACTAGATGTTAGTCAAGACCTGCCAGTGTGTTTAGGTATAACCACCCAGATGGGGAAATGATTAACAGCCTGGGCGGAATAGCAATCCCTGGCTTAACCCTGCTTCAGTCAGATAGTATTTCAACTCTGTAATAAGCACCATCTCAACAATTACAGGCCTTACTTTGTTGCGCTGACACATGTAATTAATGTCACATGTCAACACGGAACAACAGAGGCAGGCAAGCTAAAGCCTATACATTATGGGTCTTGTGATAAACAAATTATACTGACATATTTTGTTGTTGTTAATCAGCGTTTTTAGTGAGTGAGTGAGTATGGTTTTACCCCGCTTTTAGCAATATTCCAGCAATATCACGGCGGGGGACACCAGAAATGGGCTTCACACATTGTACCCATGTTGGGAATCGAACCCGGGTCTTCGACGTGACGAGCCAACGCTTTAACCACTAGGCTACCCAACCGCCCTAGCGTTTTTAGAGTCAGTATTACAATTCAATTATGTGAATATTAAAGTATTGCTTTAGGTTGTTACACACAGTTTTCAGAAACAGTTCTTACGTGGTGAATCATGTTAACTGTTGGGTAAACAGTATTTTCTGCTAGTCGGTTAAAATAGTGATTGTTTTGAATACATACGGGTCGCCGTGGTCAGGAAACCCATACCTGACATTTAGGGCTGGCTATCGATACAGATCATTAGGATCGATAATTATTCACTAAATATTGCTCAATTATCGATCAATATCGGAGAAGTAACTTTGAGCAAATACATGAAAAAGTCTGAAAGAAAACAACATATTTCACCCAAATGGTAAGCATGGTAAGTGGTTGCACATTTATGCTGGGATTACTTTGTGGACATTTAAGATGAAACACAAACAGTTGTTTTCGATCTTCAGCAATTAACATGATTGACAATAACAAGTCTGTTTGGTAAATCTAAACTATATTTCATCACAAAGATTCATGCAAGATATTATTGATGACACAATTTTCATATCTATAATCTCTAATATTTCTTCCCAGCAACTATAAATCTCTAATATTTCTTCCCAGCAACTATAAATCTGACTATCGATCTTTTTAGCCAGCCCTACTGACCTTATCTTAAGTTATCATATTTCAAGAGATTATTTAAGACAAATTAAACACGTTAAACAACTCCTGATTCAAAACAACTTGCTGACTTATTTACAGTACCATGCTCATTAAACTGAGCCTGAAACACAATCTAAGTGCTCCAATTCAGTATGCACAAACGTTGTGATTGGACTCAGAAAAAAAACATACTGCGTCATGACGGACACAGAATAATATTCATTGCACTTACAGCCCATCAAAAGCAGTTATGGGTGTCTGTCATTTCATCCATCAATGATGACAGCTGTCCACATGATCATTGATTCATTCCAGGCTCTAAAGTAATTACCAAAACATACGGTACACTACACCATATTATTACTCCACAGGACAGAGCTCCAGCTAAGCTTTTGGTGTTGTGGGTATTTTACCTATGCATTTTAAAATCATTGGGTATCAGTAATTCTATCTGGGTATTCAAATTTCTGTTTCCCACTAGTTTTTACACATGTGGGTATTTGAGTTAAATATTTAAAAACACTATTCATCTAGGCCCTGCAAACTGGTGTCGTGTTGGTTCGAGAGCTTTATAGGACTCAAAAATACCACGATACAAGTGGGATGGCAATTGATCATGATGTAACTGTCATCGTGGAGTTTGGCAAGGTTGACGGAATGTCCGTTTTCGATTTCAAAATAAGTTGCTGATTTGCGTATCGAATACACAGGGTTACTTCACAATATTTGGATGATACGCACAAGTTTTATTTTTGTAGCATATCTGTAATGTTCGTTGTGTATTTGATACGCTTGGAATTTATTTTACTGTATATTTCTGCATTTCTGATGCGTATTCTACGCAGATACGCAGCTTATCTGGAGCTCTGCAGGACCCTTAAAATTTATTAATTGGGGTACCCTGGACACCCTCTTTTGTAAGTTAAGGTAAAACCATACTGAGGCCCTTTGACCATGAAAACATTGTCTGCAAATCATTCAGAATTAATTCAATCATTTCTGTTATCATGGTGATAATAATATCTTCAAGCAACCATACTGTTAAAAAAAGTTGAGTTTATCGAAAATAAGAAAGATTTTCTTCCCAAATGGCTGACTCTAAAAATGATATCACTGAATATATGGTTCCTTGGTGATAACTAACACACAAATACAACTTCATAACTCTTACATTGCTGTCATAAGACATAGGGGCCTAATTGATGGATTGTAAAAGAATAACAATTCCCTCCAGTGCATAAATATGATTAATATAGGGGATGGACTAGAAAAGCAAATTCTCCAGTAAATATGCTCATATAGGTATGGCTGGTTTACATTGTGACTTTCTGTGTCGTTTGAGCCCTACCCCTCATCCACAACGTCACTTTATCAATCGAGGCCTAGCCTTGTGTTCGTAGTTTCTGTACATCAACTGAAACGGTCATTACTACATTAGTCGTAGGAATACTGACTGAAAAAAGTCTCAAATACGTACAAGTGTAGACAAAAACTAGGCCTTAAGACCGGTTTCCAGTGAACATCGATACCGAATTCATAGAATTCCGTCCTTTTCTATTTGGGGAACACACGCGAAGGATTTCTCTTATCAACCGGTGTCAATGTCAACAACTTGAAAAATGGCGTCGATCAGTGCTGCCACCTTACGGGCGGGCAAAACAATGAAGACCGCTAAAAGAAAATTGTTGTTCACTCAAGTTCACACACTCTGGGGCAGTGGTGACTTGGCATTGCAATACCGCAAGTAAATCTGGATAGGAGATTGTGAAGTCAATTTCCAGTCTAGGTCATATATAAGAAGGTATACACATAGGTATATACGTATTTTGCTTGGTCCAATCGATTTTATAACTGAATTGTTTGAAATTGAGGCATTGTATTCATGCAGGGACTCTTAGATAATCAAATCATTTTGATTGTTTGTTTGTTGTTTAACGCCGCACTCAGCAATATTCCAGCTATATGACGGCGTTGTGTAAATAATCGAGACTGGACCAGACAATCCAGTGATTGACATCATCAAACGATCTTATCCATTAATTAAACTTAAATTATAACCAAGAACCCTAACAACTGTAAAAACGAAAATATTCCTTTAATCATCTTGGCGAAATTTAATTTACACTTTCATAAAAAATAATTCTGATACAGTTAATATATATTTCGTCGTTGGTTTGCTGTTTAAACTGCACCCAACAATATTCCAGCTGCACCTCACCAGTCAAAAACAGTCTAATTTGGACCAGACAAACCAATGATTGATATTAAGAGTGACGTTCCATGCCGCCCGGTTACGACGACACGCAATCTAACAAGTAATCGAATCTGATTGGTTGACTCAGATTACGACAAGCACAAGTCGCTGGAAACATATTCTAAACCGGGTCTCCATGAACAAACTCTCGGGCAAAATAAAGTACACCCCCCTGTTTGATGGTAGCTACATATATGTTTTTCAATGATGATGTTTTTGATGGGGGTATCATAGTTGTATTTTGTACCTTAAGTTTGCAGTGTTTCGGCGACAGATTTTAATTAGCCTAGTAACGTTTTGATAAAGTTTGTAATTTTTGGGTCAAATCTAAATTTGTAGTGTATACTGTCTTTTGCACGACAGTTTATCTTTTGTAACATGACTACGTCGACATCACCTCTCAAAACTACGATGGCAACTTTGTGAAATACATTTTTAGCTGCTTTAATGAAAATGCGACGAGGAGGATTTACTTTTAAAAACAGAAAAAAATTATAAATTTTTAGAATAAGTAAACATCAATTTACCATCTTTGCAGTAAATTATTAGTTCAAACTGTACACGGTCGAACATATTAATTGTCTGAATTATTTTCATAATAATGACAGGTCGGCTCGCGTTAAAATATGAAACAATAAATAATCATAACGTACTACGACTGAACATGTGAAAACACATAAAAGTAATATTATCGCTTCGTTTTAATGTACAAATTTCATTTGTAATCACAGATAGATGCTTGGGGGGGGGGGGGGGGGGGGGGGGGGGGTGGCCATGGGGGGCATGTTACTAGGCAAACATTTGTCTACCTGCTACCTGATCATCAGACCGTCGAACCAGGATTACTGCATATTACCTCGTTATATTAATCTGACCTCATAGATAAGGGTTTTAACTGGCTAGATCGAAATAATATGCGACCCTATCTCGTGGGAAAAGGACAAGGTTTGGTCACAGGCGTATGCGCACACAATTGAGTCATTGATTCAACCGCCCGTAAAATGTTCATGTGCAATACGCACTGAAGTTACAACTGAAATAGAAGAAAAATGTCAGTGAGTGAGTGTAACGCCGCTTTGGATAGTATTCCAGTTGTAGAGTTGGTTCGTTGGTTTGTTGTTTAACGCCTCACTCAGCAATATTCCAGCTATATGACGGCGGTCTGTAAATAATCGAGTCTGGACGAGACAATCAAGTGATTGACATCATGAGCATCGATCCACGCAATTGGAATACGATGACATGCAAGTCAGCGAGCCTGACCACCCGTTCCCGTTGGTCCCCTTTTACGGCAAGCATGGGTTGCTGAAGACTTATTCTACCCCGGATCTGACGATATACAACTTGCATTAAGTCTTTTATGGCCAGTACTGAATACAATTGAGACATTGCCGTCAACGTTTTACTGTAACAATTACGCTATATATTCCAACAGCACACCGTAAGATTTACGGGAGGATAACTGGCAGCATGCTGCCAACCTTTACCGTATAAGACACGGTAAGGGTTTACAGTGTATATGCCACCTTTGTTCGTTGTTTAAAGCCGCACGCAACAATATACCAGCTGTATGACGACGGTCTGTAAATGATCGAGTCTGGACCAAACAATTCAGTGATTAACATGACCATCCATCTTCGCAATTGGAATATGATAAACTGATGCATCAACCAGGTTAGCGAGCCTGACCACCCGATCCCGCTAATCACATCTTTCGGAGACTTAAAAGTGGAAACAAGATCGTGTTGATTTAAAGGGGGGACAATAACCCCGGCTACTTGGCAGTCCCAGCACATTTGATTCGCGTCACACAAATCACAGTTTTTTGTTCTGCTGTGCAAAGTTTTAATTTCTATATCAATTTATCAGATAATGATGACCTTATATACACAGAAACAATGGCTAAACTCTGTATTAATTATTCAGTGGCGGATCAAGGTGTGGCTGTTTCTGGGGTTGCCACCCCCTATTATTATAATGTACCTGGGGTGGCCACCCCCCTTTTTTTTTTAAAAAATGTACTCCCCCGCCCCCTCCCATCGACAACGGATAAGAAAAGACGCTTTACCTTTGCAAACAGGGCAAATGTCATAGATCTAGGTCGTTTCGTGTGGGTCACGACGTACGTGTGTCCCCGAAAGAGAGCCAGATAACACGGTTAGTCATAATGCCACTTATAGTACTAGAATTTGAGTCATTGTGCTTCACATTATAACATGGCCTCTCTTTGTAATGGAACGACGTTATGGGTGAGTGGAACAAAATGCTTTGTACCATGACTTCCTCTGTACGGTTTCGAAACCCCTCATTTTTTAAAACAACACATGGCCCCTAGTTTTAAATAAATCCCCCAAATACTGCGGAGGTATTTGAATATTCGTGTGCAACGGTGTCTGGCTGTAAAAAGTCAAAACGTTCAAACACCCAGCACTGAAGTTGAGAAAAATGTGCTCTAATATTTCTGTGGGCTTTTCCCCCGATGGGGCATTCTGCTTTAAAAGAACACAGTTTTTTACTCGACTTTCACTGGGAACTGCGTCAGCTTTAAGTTATTCTTATCCCCCTCACCGCATGCAGGAACACGGCTGTTGTAAAAGACTGTTGGTAGAGTTTCAGTGACTACCGTGCTGTATTTACACCATACCGCACATATACACTAGGACGACCCATGCTTATGTATACACTCTACCGCCCATGCATAACCCTACCGTATATATACACTCTACAGCCCATACATACACCCTACCATATATATACACTCTACCGCCCATACATACACCCTACCGTATATATACACTCTACCGCCCATACATACACCCTACCTTATATATACACTCTACCGCCCATACATACACCCTACCTTATATATACACTCTACAGCCCATACATACACCCTACCTTATATATACACTCTACCGCCCATACATACACCCTACCTTATATATACACTCTACCGCCCATACATACACCCTACCTTATATATACACTCTACCGCCCATACATACACCCTACCTTATATATACACTCTACAGCCCATACATACACCCTACCTTATATATACACTCTACCGCCCATGCATAACCCTACCTTATATATACACTCTACCGCCCATACATACACCCTACCTTATATATACACTCTACCGCCCATACATACACCCTACCTTATATATACACTCTACAGCCCATACATACACCCTACCTTATATATACACTCTACCGCCCATGCATAACCCTACCTTATATATACACTCTACAGCCCATACATACACCCTACCTTATATATACACTCTACCGCCCATACATACACCCTACCTTATATATACACTCTACCGCCCATGCATAACCCTACTGTATATATACACTCTACCGCCCATGCATAACCCTACCTTATATATACACTCTACCGCCCATACATACACCCTACCTTATATATACACTCTACAGCCCATACATACACCCTACCTTATATATACACTCTACCGCCCATGCATAACCCTACCTTATATATACACTCTACCGCCCATGCATAACCCTACTGTATATATACACTCTACAGCCCATACATACACCCTACCTTATATATACACTCTACCGCCCATGCATAACCCTACTGTATATATACACTCTACCGCCCATGCATAACCCTACCTTATATATACACTCTACCGCCCATACATACACCCTACCTTATATATACACTCTACAGCCCATACATACACCCTACCTTATATATACACTCTACCGCCCATGCATAACCCTACTGTATATATACACTCTACCGTATATATACACTCTACCGCCCATGCATTCCCCCTACCGTATATATACACTCTACAGCCCATACATACACCCTACCGTATATATACACTCTACAGCCCATACATTCCCCCTACCTTATATATACACTCTACCGCCCATGCATTCCCCCTACCGTATATATACACTCTACAGCCCATACATACACCCTACCATATATATACACTCTACCGCCGATACATACACCCTACCGTATATATACACTCTACCGCCCATGCATTCCCCCTACCGTATATATACACTCTACAGCCCATCCATACACCCTACCGTATATATACACTCTACCGCCCATGCATTCCCCCTACCGTATATATACACTCTACAGCCCATACATACACCCTACCGTATATATACACTCTACCGCCCATACATTCCCCCTACCGTATATATACACTCTACAGCCCATACATTCCCCCTACCGTATATATACACTCTACCGCCCATACATACACCCTACCGTATGTTTTCACTCAACCGCCCATGAATTCACCCTGTATGTACACTGTACAAAATGTGTTTAGATCCTAAACACAACCTGAAACAGGTTCCTTGTCCTATAAATTTGACATGTTTAAGATTGTGTTTAACAGCTTTATACATGTTTATAGGATCATAAATGTGTGGGGATAAAAGCTTAATATGGGGGTATGTGGGTGGTGGTAACTAAAGGAAGGCGAAGACCGATCGTAGTAATCAGGTATATTTTCAGTGTCAACTTCCTGTATGAGAGAAACACTATTAGTCATACAGCAACAAAACATTATGGACACGTAGATCTTTAGACCTCGGTGGACCAAAACTTTAAACATATTTAGAGGGTTTGGGTGATCCTGGCACAGTCAGGCTGGTTAGGCTCATCATCAGCTCAGGGCCCTTGCCCCCTCTACACGCAGCCCAGACTACCCAGTCGAACCCAGCCAGAACTTTTCGGAGAATGTGAAGACTCCCCAACACTGCAGCTGTTCTGCATTACACAGATTGCCAGAAGGGCTGTATTCCTGGCAGCGAACCAATGTCAGACAACAGATTGGGAGGTACCAAACCTTAGGCACCGAGAACAATGACAACAATGAGTCGGACAACATGGTACTTGGGATACAAGCGAGACATGTCAAAAACGAGGTCCGCATTGACATTAGTGTCAAAAGGGACAGCGAATTCAATAACATAAATGATTTTATTGGAGTTATCAAAAAGGTAAAAATCAGGTTTGTTGGCCTGGATAGGTCTGAGGCTGGAAACGGGCCTATTCCAAAGAGTTTCGTATTTATCATTTTCCATGACACCCTCTTCATATTCTGGGTCGTACCATGGATGAACCTCTGTGTCAAAACCACAAGTATAGCGAAAACGGTAATAAAAGGGTCGAGCCACTCCATCATGCCGCTTAAGATACTGTGTTTGAGCCATAGCTGGGCGTCCACTGACAATGTGTTGGACAGGCTCATTAAATTCATTGCATAATCTACATTTCATATTGCCATTTTGAGGCCAAATCACACATTGACGGTTTCGAGTGGGAACTGACTCACTCTGGGAGGCAAACAGAAAGCCTTCTGTTTCACAACCAGGCCAGAGGACTTCATCCAAGCAAATGACTCTTTTTGTCAACATAATATATTATCTTACAACATGATATCGTACATTGAACTCGGCATTTAGTAGAGCTTTCTTAATGAATATGGAAACGGTTTTTGTCGCTTTTATTTTATGTAACATATACTGTCTTCTCTAGGACACAAACCTGACCTGGTACAACACATGGCCTCAGTTCACAGAATGCTTCCAGTCCACGGTGTTGGTGTGGGTGCCATGTGGGTGGCTGTGGCTGACGTCACCGTTCTATCTCTACTACCTCCTGAACGTCACACCGACGCCACTTTCATCAAGATATAAATTTATAGCAAAGATGGTAAACAGTAACCGTAATTCGAGTACCCTATGCTAGTACGTTTGTAGACCCGTGAAGATCCGGGGTAGAATAGGTCTTCAGCAACCCATGCTTGCCGTAAAAGGTGACTATGCTTGTCGTAAGAGGCGACTAATGGGATCGGGTGGTCAGGCTCGCTGACTTGGTTGATGCATGTCATCGATCCCAATTGCGTGGATCGATGCTCATGTTGTCACTCAGTGGATTATCTGGTCCAGACTCGATTATTTACAGACCGCCGTCATAAAGCTTGAATATTGCTGAGTGCGGCGTTAAACAACAAACAAACAAATGGTACGTTTGTAAAAACGCGTCATCAAGAAATAAATGTCCAGAATAGATGGTGAGGTGCAACCATATATTGACTATCCTATGCTTGGACCTTAAAACTATATATGTTTATTACGACTCGCATAATTTCGGAAAATATGTAATCAAAGTGAGTTAATCAGTATATCTCTTTTCACCTATGTTCGAACAATATCAATAAAAAAATAAGGGATACACACATTAATCGTTGCTGATGTTGTCAATCAGTGGATTGTCTGGTCCAGACTCCATTATTTACAGACCGCCGTCTTAGAGCTGGAATATTGCCGAGTGCGGCGTTATACAACAAACAAACCGAGACACAATCAGAAGAGTCAGCGTAGAGAATTGTGGCTCCTTAAACGTCATGCCCCTCGTCTACATATCATTGTGAATATCACCATTGGCCTTCCATCCTGTTCTTTTTCCAGATCCTTTGCTCTTGTCTTGTCATTCTCTCCACAACCCGGCTTATCGTTGCTGATGAGGACGTCAACTTCAACACTTTTAAAGCCTTCACCATCGCACCTGCTGTCCATACAGTGACTTTTGTAAGATGTAACGAATAACGTTAGTTTATATCTGATGATAACAACTACGATCCAGTGGATCTACCTTCACCGATTGACCCGTGAATATCCGGGGTATAATAGGTCTTCAGCAAACCCACTCTTGCCGTAAAAGGCGACTATGCTTGTCGTAAGAGGCGACTAACTGGATTGGGTATTCAGGTTCGCTGACTTGGTTGATGCATGTCATCGTATCCGAAATGTAGGTCTTCAGCAAACACACGCTTGCCGTAAAAAGTGACTATGCTTGTCGTAAGAGGCGATTAACGGGATTGGGTGGTCAGGCTCGCTGACTTGGTTGGTGCATGTCATCGTGTCCAAAATGTGTGCATCGATGCTCATGATGTCAATCACTGGATTGTCTGGTCCAGAGTCGATTACGTACAGACCGCCGTCATATAGCTGGAATATTGCCGAGTGCGGCGTTAAACAACAAACAAACAAACAAACCTTCACCGATTGCCTTCAAGAAATATTTTCCCCAAAAAAATAAATCCAGAATTTGCAAAGCAACTTTCATTGGTATTATGTACATATTTGCACATTTGCAGCTTGAATTAGAGATTTTCACAATATCACATGGTCGATGGTCCAAATTAAAATACAATATTACCTCTTGAAGGCATTCTTTTGGTAGGGAGGGGTAAAAGTTTAAGGTTTACTTTCCTGTGTCCCCTTCGACCATCTTGGACATTGTTTTTTCAATAGTCAACAGACCTTTCGCAAAAAAGCGTTTTCAATCAACACGTGTGAAACATTTAGTCGATGTATCCATAAATCAAGTAAAATTAATACTCGGACTGAAAACAAAATCCCAGGCATAAGAACATGTTATTGGTGTCTTATTCAGCTGTTTGCTATACTGCTGCTGCTCCTGGAGAGGAAGAAAGGCCTCATCACTTCCGGGGTAATGTTCACCTTCTGGCTGCTGCTCACACTGACTGGCATCGTCCCCTTCTACTCCATCATCATTCAAGAGGTAATTTACAGATAGCATCCTAAAATGGCTTTTTATTTATTTTTGATATTATCCAACAATGTCCGTAACTTGTTAAGGAACTACTCTCTCAATGCAGATATATTGCACTGGGGGACCAGTTCCATAATGAGATTTTTAGCGTCTTAATTTATTATTTATTATGTAAGCTCAATGAATATTGACGTTCATCTGATAAAAATTCTGGAATATGTCCCCACGTAACATTTTGTGAGCTTTACTGAGGCCCTCAATGTTGTTACTTTAATCAGAGTCGTGTGACGGTCTTTGAAATATTCGTAGAAAGAGCATGCTCGACTGCACCTCAAAAGTTGTGAAATGCATGTAGACACCAAAGGCTGGAACTGCTGGAATAAGGATGGCATACAGAGAAACCTGACTATTTGAATGTTGAAGTCATCCCTCTTGTTATACAGTCGTTAGGGGGGCACGAGGGGCACGAGTCGCTATTCGGCTTGTCCCGGAATAACACGAGTTGGTCACGAATGCAGTTTTTCACGCGTACGTAATGTCAGTGATGCGTTATTTAACACACATTTAATGAACAAAAACAATCACATTTGACATCCCAAAAGTATTGCTCAGCTAGCCATGTCTTAAGTATTAAAATCAATATTTTTCAGCAGGATAAAAGTGTCTACACAGTAACATTCTACATATATCATGGGCTGGTAGTATCAGAACTGTTCATCAGCTGTTTTGCAGAAACGCCTTCAGATTCTTCAAGCCAGGACACGGTATGTCCGTTTATTGTCATAATCCAAGAATACCAAGTGTCTTCAGGAACAATGTCGCTACAGTAAACTACGGTTATAACGAACACGCTTCAAAGGAACTGACGGATATAACGAACTTACTTTTTTGGTCCCGATAATTGCTGTAGTTTTGCTGTATATATGCTTATAACGAACTACGGTTATAGCGAACTAAAATTAGTAGTCCCCTTGAGTTCGTTATAACCGTACTTTACTGTAGTTTCTGTAACTTTCTGTAGTTAATGCGATGTGTCATCTCAACAGACATACAGACTGAACATGTCGAAATCTATACTCAGATCATTAAAGTGAAGAACAATTCCACATTACAGCAGGTGCTTGTGGAAAAATGTACTTAATTTGAGAAAGTATGAAATTCTAGACATCGTTGCTCTTACAAAAACAAAACCAAAGAGTCCAAAATAACTGAAGCGCGACAATACGACATTTTGACCATTTGTCGCATTGTCCAGCTCTGACGTTTTTTTTGTTTGTTTTTTTACCAAAGGACGACAATGAGACACCGCGATATATTTTCAAGGTGAAAATATATTGCGTTGTCTCACTGTTGCCCTTCTTATATTAAATGTGTAACAGAAGCATTAAAATGCGAGACAAAGCAACATATTGATAATGATGCATTGTCGCTCTTTCGTAAAACAAATATATTATTCAGCGCGTGATCATGAGACAAATGATCGAATGTCGAGTTGACGTTTTGGATAATTTTTGCTTGTTTTTATAAGGGTGACAATGTCCATTCTAGGATTCCATAAGTAAGTGCTTGTTGCCTTGGATTCATGAGTTGTCATGGATTAGTTCCCCCAAAATACTGACAACAGTTCTTGATCACTCACAGAAACCATGCACTGAACTACATTCGTCCTTCCTCTCAAGAATTACGTTCTGGTGGATGAACAGGTAATGCTTCTAATGTGAGTGAGTGAGTGAGTGAGTGAGTGAGTGAGTGAGTATGGAAATAAAATTCCATCTAAATTTTTGTTCCAGTCTCATGAAAGTTTACATAACAGGTTTCATCTGTAATCCATGCCTCTTGAAACAGCTTAATAAACCGCAAAAGGATTTCTTCTATAAATAAATACTTACCATGCCTACAGTATGAGGAGATTAGGGGTAGGAGATTGGATATTTGCAAAATATCTTATAAACCATGTCCTTTTATTGATGAAATGCTTTCATGAAAAAAGAATCTGTTCAAGTAAAGTATAAAATTACATTGAGATCTAGTTAACTGAAACATTTTGAAGTTCTTGTGATCATTGGAGACAATTGGAGTGATGACATCAGACTGACTGAGTATGGTTTTACGCTGATTTTAGCAATAATCCAGCACTATCACGGCGGGGGACACCAGAAATGGGCTTCACACATTGTACCCATGTCGGGAATCGAACCCGGGTCTTCGGCGTGACGAGCGAACGCTTTAACCACTAGGCTGCCCGACCGTCCCCGCTTCTCAACATCATCATTAACACCTGCCAAACACGGACAGCAATATATTTGTTTACTTCTCACTTTTAAAACAACACCGTGAAACAATTAATAATTAAGATCAAAGAATATCAACACATTAATTCTAAAAGTATGTGCATAAAATAAAGATGAGTGAGTGAGTATGGTTTTACGCCGCTTGATGCAATATTCCAGCAATATCATGGTGGGAGACATCAGAAATGGTCTTCACACATTGTATCCAGATAGGGAATCGAAACTGGGTTTTCGGCATGACGAGCGAATGCTGTTACTACAAGGCTACCCCACCGCCAAGAACTAAAGGACAACATGTAGAGCCGACCACGGTCGAGAAATAACACATTGAAAACTCAAAGTCATCAGTGCCTTCTAACCAGAAAGACGACCAAATTACCAACAAAAATCAAGCAACAAGAACTCCATGCAAGTGAGTGAGTTGGGTTTGACGCCGCTTTTAACAGTATTCCAATTATATCGCGGCGTGTCAGCTTAATTTTGGAGGAAAGCCCGAAGTGATGCAGGTCTTAGACGTTTACCACTTCAGTGAAACCCACGAGTGCGGGTATGGTGCTGACAAACCAAGAAACAATCGGGGCGAACCATGATTCGAACCCACAATCATAGGATTCTGGCGTGCCCAAGGGACGCAACTCTGCACAGCGAATCACAGTTCATGCAAGAGTAAAATCGTGGGTTTGAATCCAGGTTCTCCCGGATTATGTTTCCAGGTTTGTCAGCACTATACCCGTGCTCGTGGGTTTTCAAAAAGTGGTAAACGTCTATCACTTCGGCGTTTTCTCTCAAGCTGGCACTATATAAGTGAAATACTGTTAAAACTCAGTCACTCAAGCAAGAGTAAGGGGCGGTCTGGTAGCGTTGTTTTGCCTTAGAAGAAGAAGATCCGAGTTCGATTTCCCACTTGGGGACGATATACGAAGCCAATTCCTGGTATCCAGCGATCTGATATGGCTGGAAAATTACTAAAAGCTCTGTAAATATAATCTTACTCACTCACACACTCATGCTTGCGTCGTAGGTTATTGCTCAAGGGCTACCGAAAGTCGTTGACAGAAGCAGACGTCGATGATATTCATCCAGCTTTATCGTCTGCCCGCAACACGCCTGGCTTTCTGTCACGGTGGAGCAAACAGACTAGTAAGCCAAGAAGGTAAACAGCTTGTTACATTACAGTGAGGTATGGGATACTGTAAGGGACATTCTCGCGATCTCGCATTCTCGACCTTTTGAAACGAGCTAAATATGCCCCAAACCGGAGAATGCGAGATTGCGAGAACGCGAAATTTGGTCAAAATATCGCGTTCTCGCGATCTCGCATTCTCGTGTTTTGGGCATATTTACCTCGTTTGCACAGGTCGAGATCGCGAGAATGTCCCTTACAGTATTCCATAGTGAGGGGAGCCCTGTTGGCCCAGTCTTCTTTGGCGCCACAATTCGCTGTGCACATTGGCGAACCTGAGCCTTCCTTGCCAGAGGTCTGTGATCGTGGGTTTGTGTTACAGGTTCGTCTGATTATGTCCCTGTTTTGAGTACCATATTCGAGGTGGAGGAATTCACCAATATGGTAGAAATATAAGACCTGCAATACGTCGGATGCTCCCCTCCAAACTCTAAGTCACGCCTCCTACCCCCAATGCTCAGTGAAATGAAGACCACAGCGGCGTTAAACAAACTCCCTCATTCACTCAAAATTAATTATTGCAGGTATCAGTTTGTGATTGATCTTCGTGTACCAGAAATAAATAATATCTTGCCCCGTGAAGATCCATGTCTTCAGTGACCCATCAGAGGCGACTAAAGGGATCGGGTGGCCAGGCTCGCTGATTTGGTTGATGCATGTCATCGTACCCCAATTGCGTAGACCGATGCTCATGATGTCAGTCACTGGATTGTCTGGTCAATATTATTTAAAGAAATCCGTCATATATTGACTGATTGAGGCGTTAAAGAACATTAAAAAACCCAGACAATTAGTATGTTAACAACGTGACCGTAATCCTGTATATGTAACATCGACAGTTTTGTCTAGTTACTTATCATCCTGAATAAAATACACCCCAGACAGTTTGACAGGGAATACACCTGCAGCTAGCCCTATATGCATAAAATGATGTGATGTCAGAATCAGTTGATGTGTACTATTTTTATACTTTCCTATTGCAGAAGCAATGAGGGAGACAAGAGAGTGTATTATTCAAAAAGACTTAATGACTCTCTCAGTTTGGATGCTAGTGATGAAACATCCCCTTTGTTGGGAAGTAAAAATCAACAGAGAAAACAGACGAAGGAGACAGCTTGTGGAAAAGAAATCTCCCTGGCCATGACCTTGTGGAAAACGTTCTGGTTCGACTTGATACAGTTTCAAGTATGGGTACTTGTGAGCGACTTGCTTAGATTTGCAAGTCCTTTGATACTCGGGTAGGTAGCCACATATAACACTGTTTTCTATGCTTATATTGCAAAATATAATGGGGCCATGAAAACACAGACTGTTAACCCATGCTCCTCATCAATGACTTTCCGTCTGTTGACGAACCTGTATTTCATTCATTTCTTGTACAGTAAACTACGGATATAACGAACTCAAAGGGACCACTTATTTTAGTTCGTTATAACCGTAGTTCGTTATAAGTATATATACAGCATATATACAACAAATGGCCGGGACTAAAAAATAAGTTCGTTATATCGGTCAGTTCGTTATAAGCGTGTTCGTTATAACCGTAGTTTACTGTAATACATATATTTTAAAGCGCGATATGAACAGCAATAGCACACCTGATTTGTTAAAACCATCCGCTTAAAAGACAGCTCTCTCTTCAGGCGGTTTATGTAAAATTATTGCACACAAATGACTGTTTTGTTCTTTTAACAAATGCTCATTTAATATGTTACAGTCTTCTCGTAACCTTCACCACAGACAAGACTATACCCCTGTGGAAAGGCTACCTTTTGTGCATTGTCCTCTGTGTATCCACGTTAACCCAGACAGTCTTTTCTCACGCCAACTGGCACCAAGGGAGAAAGGTGGCACTGCGGATGGCTGCTGTCATCATATCTGCAATTTACAGAAAGGTACGATTGCTCCACAGTCTGAATGCTGTAATGACAAACTATTTTTTACTGTTTATTAACTATTCCATAACTTAACTTAACCTTGACTTAACCTTCAAATCCTTCTGCCTGGCACAACATGTATGGTATGCACAGTTCTTATGAATCGCTTCCTGGCATTAGCAGATGAGTTTAGAAAAGAGTTTCCAGAATCATGGCGTCGGCACTTGCACTTCCAGCAGCCCAGGGGTCTTATACAATCTGTTTGTTCATTCTCGTACCATACAAACTATACATAGGCATCTTGTAATATTTTCCATTTCATAAACAACTCTAAGTCTTTGAGGATGAGCAACAAGGCCAAGAAAGAGTCGACAACAGGTGGAATTGTGAACCTGATGTCTGTGGACGTGGAGCATATACGAACCTTTACGATCTGGATCTGGGCAGTCTGGGCTATCCCTATGAATGTCGCCATTGCCCTGTACCTCCTGTACCAGTCTCTGGGAGCCTCCATGTTCGCTGGGATGGCGGTGTTATTTGTGCTGTTGCCCGTCAACACTGTCGCTGTGTTCATGTTGAGGAAGTATCAGGCTGAACTGATGAAGCACAAGGACAAGAGGATGAAGATCATGAATGAAGTCCTCAACGGAATCAAGGTAATGGGAGGTTTATGATTAGATGTAGCCCCTTCTTTTTTGTTGAACATTCTCCTTAATACTTATACGTTGTATAATATCCTTATGACCTATAATAACCTTTAAAGGTTTATGTTTGGTCTAGGCTGATTATAATTCCTAGAATTAGTTGTCGGGGAATTAGCGTGGGACCGCACACCTGAAAACAACCAAGAGAAGCATCTGTTAGTGGCCAGTCTTTATTCCGTATAAAGAATAGAGACTGTTATTGATACCACCGATGCTCTTAGGTCATGATATGGTCGCATTTTCAATTATCACTTACTTAAACAATACCTACGCAATGTTGCTAATCTAACGTGCTGACTTTCTGAATTTTAGAGATTACCTCGCAGTTTTGAAGGGCATGAGTATGCAGAAGTGACTAAAATTACATAAGTTTTCTCGGAGAGCGCGTTATCATAGAGTAATGTTTACTTCTCTCGTCGGACCTGTAGTCTTAACGATTAGCACATACCGCTTATAGACTAAATCTTGGAAATGAATGCAGGCGTATATCAACACCGACTGATAAGTGACTTCGGACGGTACACGCATGTAGTCTTAGCGCTTAATACATAATGCTTATCAACCAAAACTTGTGAACGAAGGCCGGCGTATATCATCGCCGACTGAGATAGACTTTTAGTACACAAATTATTGAGTAATATACACAAAATATGTTGTTTAGTCTTATTTTATAAGTCAAAATTATTAATGAAAAATAGAAGAAAATATGACGTATTTTGGAACTATGACAGTTGTAACGGGATTATACTTATATCTTTATTTATATATATGCTGTTCACCCCATCACACTACCTCCGCCGAATCTGTCGACTTTCTGTATGCACTTTGGTGCAAAATGTTCGTGTCTACGTATATTCACTGAACATCGCCTGTTGCAATATGTTTTATAAGACAAGTAACGCACCATGAATTAAGTCATTAACAATAGATATATAATTTTAGATCTGTCATTTTACACATAGCGATACAGGAATCATGAATACTATGGAACTTGATGGCCAAAACATTTCGCCATTGTCAGAGTCTCCAAAACGCAACAATTTCACCAAAACGCAGCTGTACGTGAAGGGCTATAAACGTGTAGGGTTTTCGTTTTCGGTCTCCTCTGTCTGGGCGAATGAACAACAACAAACACTTGCCGCGACTGAGTGAAGCAGAAAGTTGTAACGCCATCGGTCGCTTGGAGACGGGTGACTTCAGATCGGCAATAGCCACGACTTTTCGTGTATCTCAACAGTGACGAGACTCTTGAATCGCTACCAACACCGACGAACAACACGAAACCTTCCCAGATACGGTAGACCACGTGTGTCCAGCACAGCCCAGGACAGCTACATCCGAGTCCTTCACAGCATCCGCCATACAAGGTTTGCGTAGATGGACTACAACGTCAGTTGACCCGTAAAGATTCCGGGGTAGAATAGGTCTTCAGCAAGCAATGCTTGCCGTAAAAGGTGACTATGCTTGTCGTAAAAGGCGACTCACGGGATCAGGTGGTCAGGCTCGCTGACTTGGTTGATGCATGTCATCGATCCCAATTGCGAGGATCGATGCTCATGATATTAATCACTGGACTGTCTGGTCCAGACTCGATTATTTACAAACCGCCGTCATATAGCTGGAATATTGCTGAGTGCGGCGTTAAACAACAAACCAACCAACAACGTCAGTGGTGTCCTGTCCACAAGGTAGGCCCTTACCTGCGATGGAGAACTCTGTTGCTCAATTACCAATCACGTTTTTTGCTTCGTCCTGCGGATGGAAGAATTCGGATGTATGTTACAGACGATGTGTAAAATGTAATTTACTTACGCAATTTATAAAAGGGCTAATATTTCATTCATGTTACAACCTGACGGAAAAATCAGTGACTAAAAATTATAAAGAAGTTCTAAAGGGCTTAAAATATCCCAATAGACAGAAAGTGCTAGGATTAGAAGCCAGAAAATAACAAAAATACATACCTTGACTTTCGTTATTTTTTAAACCTATCATTTCCAGTCACTGGGTGATGAAATTAAACATATATGTGTTTTGGAAATCATTATCATGAAAAAGAATATGGACAGATTTTCGGTCAATTTGTGAAATAACTGAAATATTTAGGCGTCTTGTAAATTGCCTAAGTGAAAATTTCAGTCACTTTACCCATTGACTGTAACATTTATACGGCGACATGAGCGCTTAGCGACAAACTATACACAGAAAGTCGACAGATTCCGCGGAAGTAGTGTGATGGTGTCGGCGGCAATCTCGCATAAGGGCAGGACCGACCTGTTTCGCGTTCAGGACAACTTAACTGCATAGCAGTACCAGATGAAATTGTGCAGAACGCCAAAAGGAGTAAACTGATACATGTAAAGACTTTTTGTGAACAAATGATTAATTTGCTTTTGCTGACATAGATACTGAAACTGTATGCCTGGGAGCCGTCCTTCCAAGAGAAAATCCTGGCGGTTCGGAATGAGGAGATACAGATTTTGTTGAAGATGTCTTTCCTGAAGAGTTTTAATACCTTCACCTGGACTCTCGTTCCTTATCTTGTGAGTAACATTTTTTAAATCCACCCTGCTGTGAAGCCATAAGGGGGCACGGGTGGCCAAGTCGTCTAAGGCGCCGCGATTCGCTGTGCAGAGTTGCGTCCCTTGGGCACACCAGAAACCTATGGTTGTGGGTTCGAATCCCGTTTCGAACCGATCATGGTTCTAGGTTTGTCAGCACCATACCCGTGCTCGTGGGTTTCACCGAAGAGGTAAACGTCTGAGACCTGCATCACTTCGGGCTTTCCTCCCATATTAAGCTGACACGCCGTGATATAACTGGAATAATGTTAAAAGCGGCGTTAAACACAACTCACTCACTCACTCACTCACTGTGAAGCCATACAAATTTACTTCTCTGTAAATAATTATTAGATAATGACCAGTAACAGTAACTGTACAAATTAAATGAATTGTGGTGAATTAGAGGCCGGGCACATTCAAATTTACCCGCCGCTTATACATGACAGTAAGAGGAGTGAGTGAGTGAGTGAGTGAGTGAGTGAGTGAGTGAGTGAGTTGGGTTCAACGCTGCTTTTAACAGTATTCCAGTTCTATCGCGGCGTATCAGCTTAATGTGGGAGGTAAGCCCGAAGTGATGCAGGTCTCAGACATTTACCACTTCTGTGAAACCCACTAGCACATACTATAGTAATCGGGGCGATCCGGGATTCGAACCCACAATCATAGGTTTCTGGCGTGCCCATGGGACGCAACTCTGCACAGCGAATCGCGGCGCCTTAGACGACAGTGCCACCCGTGCAGTAAGATGAAGTACACTATAAATATTAAGGACATGTGTCATCGGTGACATGTGTCCTTGATGAACACAACTGATCATGATTTGAAAAATGTCAATCAATGATTTTCTAAAAGCTAATAGCGTAGTCACTCGAAGTATGCTAGGCATGAGTGTCAATTTTATGTTGGAATGTAATAACGAGAAAATAATCAAGCCTTGGGTCAGATCATTGAGGTTAACGTCTTTCTTAGACAATTGTCATTAAAAACATAAATTTTGCATTAGGTCATGTGAACTTAGTACCAGACATATGTGATTAAAGTATGTGTTTATCTTGCTTAGTCAATGGATCCTTTATTCTTCTAGGTGTCTCTTACAACATTCACGACATACATCTTCACTTCTGAAGACCACTACCTCCGGCCTGAGGTCGTCTTCCCGGCCATTTCACTCTTCAGCATAATCAAACTTGCTGTCACGAGAACACCCTCTATCATCGCATACTTAGTTCAGGTAGAGAGCCTGCATCGTGTACCGACGCCGCCATTCCAATAAAAACCCGGAAGGTTCGATCCTGGCCGCGTCGTACTAAAAGATGGTATTTGAGGTTCCCCTACCTAAGAGAGTAAAACAAGGACCGGTAGGCTTGGAGTCAGTATACTGTGTCTGAGTGGGGTGCCCAAGTATACTGCGGATTGGTATCTCAGCGGGATAGCGCTTTACAACTGGCATTAATCTTTTTTGGTACACGCAGACACACACGCAGGCACGCAGGCACACACACACACACGCACACACACACACACACGCACACACACACACACACACACACACACAGAAGCGTACACACGTCGCTGTATAAGTGCAAGAATCTTGAACGCGACATTACACCCCATTTCACTTCACAATACATATGTGCAATACATCTGTATGGTTCTTCATCTGGTGAGCTACATTGATTTCATTTACATATCATTATACATGATAAATTTTTTTACGATTTCAGGCTACAGTATCACTGAAGAGAATTAACACGTACCTCAACACAGAAGACTTGTCTGATACCCAAATCTTATGGAATGCCACACAACGTCAGTAAGCTTTGCTATTAGTGACCCAAAGCTATAACTGCTAGGTTTACACTTTCTCAGAGAATACCAATCTGTGTAACGTAAGAGTATGTGTATCCAGCTTATTATATAATATACTAACCTGTCAAACTTAATGTAGTAAGTTGATGAAACTTGACCGATATATATTCACCTACACAATAAGTGTCTTAAAATTACGCCTATATGATATAGGTCATGCACTGACGATTACAGACGGATGTTTCCAGTGGAGTTCTGAACTAGGACCAGCTCTTACTAAGTAAATAACATTTTTTTGCCAATTTCTTATATTTTGTAATCTTTTAACATAAAAATAATAACACCATATCAACCATTTCATACCGTCTGAACAAATGAGATGGGGCTAAATCTGAAAGCCAGATTTTTAAATGATATAACTAATATCTGATAGGTGTGAAATAATTTTCCCTGACGTGATATTGCTCACTCACTTTAACTACCACAGAGTAAAAAGTATTTTGTTCTTTCAGCGTCAATTTGGCTGTTGTCGAGGGACAACTTTTGGCCATTGTAGGTCAAGTCGGATCAGGGAAATCCTCACTTATATCTGCCATCTTGGGGGAAATGGACAAGCTCAACGGTCATGTCAGTGTGAAGGTCGTTCATGATTTCCTTTCCTGCTGCAAAACAGTCAGTGCACAATGTACAATATCAAACTACATGTATTGGGTTTCAATGTTCTTTACATTTTTTTTGTAACATATCATATAAATATTGCCAGTCTTGCTTTTCCCCTTTTAGAGTCACATGGCTTACGTGCCCCAAGTTGCGTGGATCCAGAACGACACCTTGCAGAACAACATCCTCTTCGGGAAGCCCATGGACAGACATTGGTACGACAAAGTGGTAGAGTGCTGCGCTCTGAATCCAGATCTGGAGATGTTACCAGCTGGTGATATGACAGAGATTGGGGAGAGAGTGAGTATTGAGAGAGATAGTCTTCAGCACGAGCTGTACACAGTGTGTGTCTTGTGTATTCTATTCGTCTCCTATCTTGTCATCAGCATATCAACTAGAGCGGAGGACAGAAGCAGAGAGTGACTCTAACCAGAGCTGTCTACTGTTTCTTGTGTATTGTATTTGTTTCCTATCTTGCCATCAGGGCATCAACTTGAGTGGAGGACAGAAGCAGAGAGTGTCTCTAGCCAGAGCTGTCTACAACGATGCTGACATCTATCTGCTGGATGACCCACTCAGTGCTGTCGACAGTCATGTGGGGAAACACATCTTTGACAAGGTTATCAGTAGCGAAGGGTTGCTCGCTGGCAAGGTAGGTACACATAGGTGTGCTGTTATATGATGTTATATCAACATAATTTTAGCATAAGTGAGAGCTACATCTAATTTATTGTCGCGAGTAAGAGACATGTGTCAAATATCATAAATATTTACACATACATTCAGATATATATTTGATATCCTACCTTATTTTGTAAATGATTTTGACTATCTAAATTTCTCACAAAACTATCCAGACCCGGGTTTTGGTCACTCACGGCATCCACTGGCTCCCAGAGATGGACTCTATCCTCGTGATGACCAGTGGTCAGATATCAGAGAAGGGGACGTATGAGGAGCTTCTCAAGTCTAACGGGCCATTTGCCCTGTTTCTACAGACCTATTTCTTGGAGAGTAATGATTCTGAAACTGAACGTAGGTTCAACATTTGGCGAACATATGTTAATGCATTATAAAGAAATGTTCATCTATTTCATTCAAACTTTTATTTGCTGAGGTATATACATTTTTCCATGTTTTAACAAACGGATGGAGACACTGCTGATCCAGTCGTCTAAGGCACCGCAATTATCTGAGAGGAGTTACGTTTCTGAGACGTGCAAGGATCCTATGATCCATGGTCAGAATCCAAGATCCAACTTGAAGATGATCATTCACTAATTTGGTTTGTCAGCGCCACACCAATGCATGTTTGTGGGTTTTACCGAGGAGCTAAACTACAACTCTTCAAACACAGTTCCTTCCATGTTACTGTTCAAAGCAGCATTTAACCCAAATCACGCTTGAACACGTAGTGTCATTACTGATTTTCAGCTGTCCATTCATATAATTTTCACCGCTATTTTGCCGTTTAAGCCCAGTGTAATCTGTTTCGGCGTACAATATGCAATGTTCTCTGACGATGACGTTGTATATAAACAACAGTTCATGTAACTATTGTTTACGTATACAGGAGACATACTTACATATACATGCATAGCGACGTCACATTATCTAATTCTAACATCATTTTGAAAACAGTGAGCGAAATAAGGATGCATGGTCTTCAACACTTAGAATCAGTTAAATCAAGTGGGGAGATGGATACAGACAATCTCACTGTCCTGTAAGTAAATAATGTATTTGAATATGACTTGAACAGATTGATATAAGGCTCCCAATGCTTTAAAAGACCATGTAAAAACATATTATTTAAAGTTCTTGTGTCATAGTGACATTTTGTTCCAGTCGGTGGTGGTATGTACAATTCACAGGTAAGCCGCCTCCCTTCTATGTTTACAAAATAAAACAATCGTCCTTCTAAAACGAGGGTCAAAAGAAAATATACCTACCTTGATTTTACCATATGTTTGATTTTAAATTGAAAATATATTAAATTATTATTACATATAAAAAAACCGAATTGTACTGGCGCTTAATTAGCACTCAAAGAATACTTCTACGTGGTTTTATTTTTTTAATATATGATTGGATTTAAAACAGATTCACATAATATACAAGTGCTGATCTTACCTTTGAAACTCAATAAACCAGCTTTTTAAAAATATGGCAGGGGTCATGTGATTGCAAATTCATGTCTTCCCGGGGCGGCCGAAGACCCGGGTTCGATTCCCGACATGGGTACAATGTGTGAAGCCCATTTATGGTGTGCCCCGCCGTGATATTGCTGGAATATTGCTAAAAGCGGCGTAAAACCATACTCACTCACTCACTCATGTCTTCCCTCCATCTTCACTGAACCAATTTAGTTAAATGCAAAATTACCCAGCCGCAGATTACATTTTTACAAACTGTTGCAGGAATGAGTGATGGTTAAACAGACATAGCCAAAATTAACAGTTCTTCCAATTTTCAATGACATAAAAAACAAGTTTGGTATACCTTATTTTGGCACACAGTTTATGTTTACAAACAAAATGTTGGTTCATACATTTAGGAGTAAACCCCGGAGCAAAGAGGCCAGACAGTCACAACCAGTCAAGGAAGAACAAAGGGTGAAGGAAAAGAGAAAACTGATTAAGGAAGAGGTGGTGGAGGCTGGCAAGGTATCCGACGACAACCTACTCTCAACAATATTGAAATTAGAAATTAGAAATTGCAAGATACCAAAATTGAATATTCAAGGTGCGAAGTTCAATTTAAAGTCTAATGTACAAGAAACTTTTGATAGTTTGAAATAAAAGATAATATGTGTATTCTTCGTAAAAGTAAAAACGAAAATCTTGTAGAAAAGCGGTAGATCTTATATTAATAGGCAAGATACATGATCGTGAGTGCAAACGAACATCACATGCTACATGTTCACTTACATTGTAAGTAATATTTCATACATACAACGTAAAAGCTTTGCAGCCAATGTAAATATGAATATAAATTAAGGATGGTGCGGGCGGTCGGGTATCCTAGTGGTAAAAGCGTTCGCTCGTCACGCCGAAGACCCGGGTTCCTGACATGGGTACAATGTGTGAAGCCCATTTCTGGTGTCCCCCGCCGTGATATTGCTTGAATATTGCTAAAAGCGGTGTAAAACCATACGCACTCACTAAGTATGGTGCTTAATTTTTACAGGTGTAAACTTTCAATTGTCATTTCCCGTAAGATCAAATGAAGGAAATATACTATATTGGGCGACTTTTCCTTTTGGCGGAAGAAGCGTAAGTTTGCACACTCATACCACACTCTCGTTGTTACAGGTTACAAAGGAAGTGTTTCTAACCTACGCCAGGGCTATAGGACTATTGCCGATGCTGGTCGCATTGGTTATGTACGCATTATTTCAAGCAACCTCCGTAACGTCAACTACATGGCTCAGCAAATGGACTGATGACAGCTCCCTAAAAATTCTTCCGTCCAACAGCTCACTCCGAATGGAGAAAAACGAATACTACATGGGAATATATGGTGTTTTAGGTCTAGTTCAAAGTAAGGATAAACATGAGTATGCTCAAAGAGTACAATAGCTGTCATCCGCATGCGCAGAGCGATTGATTTCAGTACTTCCGCTAAGCGCTTCGAGTACAGGGCCTGTAATCTAAAACGCGAGAACTGACCAATGAAATCTGAGAAGTAGAAATACCGGTAGACGCTTTTGCTTGATTGACAATGTCAATCAAGAAAGGGGGAGCGTGATGCTATCGTTCTCTCCCAGTAAATTCCGTTGTCAAATAACGACGTTATTTGGACGAAAAAACGATGGTTTGAAAACGTCCAAAAAACGTCGTTTTTCCGTCCAATGACCATATACGGAAAAAATGACGTTTTCGTGTTTGCAGTGTTATGTGTTTTTGTCATTAAATAAGTAGAGTTGCGCTCCTTGGTTGCGCCAGGATAAGTTAGTAATGGGTTCGTACTCTAGATTCGCCCTGACGATGTTCCTTGTTCCTTGTCAACAGCATATCTGAAATTATGTCTTTTACTAAAGTGGTGAACGCCTACGAGCTATTTCACACGTAACATTGCTGAAAATACTGTTCAGTGTGGCGTTAAAACCTACTCATCCACTCAATCACTCATTACAACGATTCCACATGGGGTTCCCCAGCCTAACTGCCATCCGGGGTAGAATTGGTCCTCAGCAACCCATGCTGGCCGTAAAAGTCGACTATGCTTGTAAGAGGCATCTAACGGAATAGGGTGCTCTGGCCCGCTGACTTGGTTGATGCATGTCATCGTATCCCAATTGCTTGGAACGATGTTCATGATGTCAATCACTGGATTGTCTGGTCCAGACTACGGACCGCCGTTATACAGCTGGAATATTGTTGAGTGCGGCGTTAAACAACAAACAAACAAACAATTTATGAGAACTTGCCAAGACTCGATTATCGACATATTGCCGAGATAGAGCGGACATGTTGTTCATTTGAACGTAAAACAACATTTCCCCCGTCATAAAGCTGGAATATTGCTAAGTGCGGCGTTAAACAACAAGCAGACAATCAATTTATGAGAACTTGCCAAGACTCAATTATTGACATATTGCCGAGACAGAGCGGGCATGTTGTTCATATGAACGTAAAACAACATTCCCCACTCACTCATTATAATAATTCTGATAGTGAGTCTATGCATTTCATTTTCCAGCTTCTTTCATCATGGTGTTTTCCTTTCTGTGGAATTTAAGGACAGTAAAAGCATCTCGTATTCTCCATTCAAACATGCTGGGGAATGTTTTGAAGGCACCGATGTCCTTCTTTGACACAACACCAACCGGAAGAATTGTCAATCGGTTCTCTCAGGACATGGATACCATCGACATCAGGATGCCGACTGCGGTGGAGTATTCCTTCAACACAATGTTCCAAGTCCTCAGCAGCATCATCATTATTTCGTACACTACGCCTATATTTCTCGTCGTGGTCATTCCCCTGATCATACTTTACTTCCTTGTACAGGTGAACAAAAATAACGTATATTCTTTAAAGCCTATAACGCCAACGATAACACAGGGAACTTTAATTTAAAGCAAGTCCGTGACCGAAGAATCATTTTGTACCAATTGTGTGTGTTGTTTTCATCTATGTGTCTTGGTTGATACATGTCATCGTATCCTAATTGCGTGGATCGATGCTCATGATGTCAATCACTGGATTGTCTTGTCCGGACTGGATTATTTACAGACCGCCGTCATGTAGCTGGAATATTGCTGAGTGTGGCGTTAAACAACAAACAAACAATCAAACAAACATACAAACAAAAAACAAAAAACAAAATCAGCTTGTGTGAAGGACTTGCTCATGTTCAAAAATTGAAAAATGCTTAATGAAACCTTTTCTATCAGCCATTTTGTCACATTTTCCACCTACATAAACATTTTATATTTTGTTATTAGTCGCAAACATGCAGTTGTTGAACTAAACAAAATCTAGTTATCATTCATGGGACCATGTCTGATAAACTGTCATAGCCATTTCTAATGGTTTTGCCAATTTCCTCAATTGTGCACATCCTGTGGGCTGGAAAGAATCGTTATCATCTCCCTTCCGCAATGGAAATTGTATTCTCATTTTCTCAGTTGTTGCTATACTTCCGTACAAAAGACGACACAGACCTATAGTACAATGTATATACAACGTTGATTAATAGCCTAATGTCACATACGTAATATCAGGACAGAAAAAGTATTTAGATGGTAAATACTTAATTCTTAACTGACAATTAAAAGGACATCCGTCTCTTTAACAATGATATATATTTAACAAATATATTTTATATATTTTTTAACAAAAAGGACATCCAGGCAAAAAATTAAAAAAACACGTCTTCATCCCTACTGGGCTTAGACAGTATACATATTCTTGAATCCCTTGGAATATCACTTTCTCACAGGCAGTAACTATTTCTTTTGTTTTATATCATGGAATGACTCTTTCCCCATACATAATAACACTAGACTTGAATCAGTATTCAAAGTTATAGGATCCTGTTCACCAATAAAATGATATTTGCCAACAGTATGTAGTTAACGTTCACATTTCATTTCGTCAAGTGATTTGTGTCCACATTTGGATTTCGTATTTGAATACCTCCTTCATTTCCGTAGCGGTTCTTCGTGACTACCTCTCGCCAACTGAAGAGATTAGAAGCCAAGACTCGCTCCCCGATATACAGCCATTTTGGGGAGACGTTATCAGGAGCCAGTGTTATCAGATCGTTCCAAGCTCAGTCGAGGTTCATCAAGGAATCAGAAGACAGAGTGGACGCAAACCAGAGGTTCTCCTTTTACTCATTTTGTGCTCTCAGGTAATTGTGATATGGTGATGATCACATTAATTTTTGTGCTCTCAGGTAATTGTGATATGGTGATGATCACATTCATTTTGTGCTCTATTGTAATTGTGATATGGTGATGATCACATCCATTTTGTGCTCTCAGGTAATTGTGATATGGTGATGATCACATTCATTTTGTGCTCTCAGGTAATTGTGATATGGTGATGATCACATTCATTTTGTGCTCTCAGGTAATTGTGATATGGTGATGATCACATTCATTTTGTGCTCTCAGGTAATTGCGATATGGTGATGATCACATTAATCTTTCAAACTAGAAAGGTGTTTGCATTATTGCAAAGATTTCTGCCCTATTCGGACAGGTTTTTTAGGAGAACGATTGACTTGCCTTTGCAAGTGTTTGCTACGGGTGCCACCGGTGGGGCTGACCTTTTCGCGAACACCTGGTATCAAGATTCAAGATTCAAGATTCTTTATTCAGTATTATGTGGCCTAGAGTACAATTACAATTACAATAATTGCTGCGTCACGTGATGTCAGGAAAATAAATACAAGTAGTCTTATTTCACATTAAATACATGATTTAAGTATAAGGCCAAAGCCTTTACAATGTTGATATTTTTGGAGTTGAGTAGATTACATAAACTGTGATTATCATGATGGACATTGGATAACCAAGGCAAATAGTGGTTTCTGACAGAAGAATATTTTGAACATATAAACAAAACATGAAATTCATCCTCTAATTGCCTCCCTGTACAGTGGGTACATAGATATAAACTCAAGTCTTCATTTGTATGTTTTGACTTTCGTAGCATGTTAATCTTAAAACCGTGTAGCGATATTCTGAATTTACAATATACTCTCCTGAGTGATTTATTCGTGAGATTACTGATGTAAAATTCTGGCTGTAAAAGTGATTTCAAATTTGCATAATGTGACAGATATTTTGATGAAGAAATAGAGTCATGCCACTCTTGAGAATACATATCACTCAGCCTTTGTTTTATTTTTAGCAAAAAGAGATTTTCATCGCCAATATGTTGAGAGATCCATACAAATGAAAAGCCTGAAGAAAACAAAATATATCTTACATCAGACACCCAGGTGTGTTTATCATTATCATCTAACTGTTTAAGTAGATTGTAACATTGTTTTGGATATCGACATTGATTCATACGTAGCAATCTCAACTAGTATTTAAGTACCCTTATTTTGCTAAACACGAACATATTTAATCGTCCAGTTTCACCAAGAATAGCTTTATAAGAGGCATATTTTCCGATACAAACATAATTTTTAAAATAGGACGTATGTACTTTTTCTATACATTCATAATATTTTGCCCCCCAGATTTCAGCCCCATAAAGTAATATAGGAGCAATCTTACAATCAAACATTGTACAAGCTGTTTCGAATGTTATATAGCTATTTCTTTTGAAAACATGATAAATGGCTCTAGTGGCTTTAGAAGCCTGTGATGCTAGGCTTTTACAGGCCATTGACCAGATTAGCCTTGAGGAGAAAAATACTCCAAGATACTTGTAGTAAGTGACAAGTTTTACATTTATAGAACCATAGAACCATTTTTCATTTTTTCGTATAATGCCACCATTTCGGAAAACAATTGTTTTTGTTTTATCAAGATTCACACTTAGGCCCCAGGTAATGGAAAATTTTCTTAAGATATCTAATTGTCTTTGTAGACCAATAACTGTATATGAGAACATAGTCACATCGTCGGCAAAAAGTAGTAGCATAATATCTTCAATACTTTCTGAAACAAACACACCATGACAGCACGTTTTATAAATGTCAGTTACAAGCTCATTAATAAAGAAGATAAACAGAAGTGGGCTTAAGATACAGCCTTGTCTTACACCGGAGCTAGTTGTAAACAAATCTGTTCTGCCTTCGTCTGTTTTTACACAAGCCTTAACAGCAGAATACATACTAGCTAAGACATTATACAACTTGCCATGGCAACCTTTTTGTAAGAGCATATATACTATTTTTTTCCTTTCCACAAAGTCAAAGGCTTTCTTGAAATCAATGAAAGCACAAAAAAATCGCCCCCCTCGCTTTGATGAATATTTAGTACAACACCTGGTATCATCACTATTTGATAGTGATTAATAAACACATGCTCATGATATAATCGGAATCGTACAATCGACTGTTTTTGACAGATTTCTTATGGATATGGAAAGGGATTTTGCCGCTTTATCAATATGGAAAGGGTTTTGTCGATTTTATTTATTTGCATGAAGCAGTCCTATTCCCACCATTTCCTGAATGCCCCAAACGCTTTCCAACCAAACACGTATTATTATTAGTTATACTTCACATACTATATATGTTGTCTCATGCATTATATCTTAGTCCTTTATATTTAGCTACCCTGATAACAAGCTATAAGCTGTAACCACATCACGCACGGAACTTACAAGCAGAACGTCCCAGGTCTCTATATCTACCTCAGTTACCTCAGTTACAAATACTTCCGGTTTAAGGACCGCCTCCGTGGTCTCTTGGTAGAGCGTCCGCCCGGAGAGCGGAAGGTCTGAGGTTCGATCCCCGTCCGCGTCATACCAAAAGACGTTAAAAGATAGTACTTGTTGTTACTCTGTCTGGCGCTCAGCATTAAGGGGCTTTTACAAGGACTGGTCGGCTCGGAGTCAGTATACTGTGTCTGAGTGGGGTATTTATGTTAAACTGCAGCATGGTATCTCACTAAGTTGGCACTATTAATCGGCATCAGTCCGGACAAGTACAAGCAGCCATCTTTTCTGACGTCATTTGGTATGACGCGGTCGGGGATCGAACCCCGGACCTTCCGCTCTCCGGGCGGACGCCCTACCATTAGGCCACGGAGGCGGTCGTATGCTGTGCGAAGATCAACGGGTCATTATGTTTTGTCAATAAGAGCTGGAATAGATGCCTTATCCATTAACTCTTCCCACAGGTTTATCAAGAACAAAGTAAATGAACTCTAAACTCGTGTTGAGATTTATACTAAGATTGTTTAAATACATATACATATAGTTACACTCTATACATGCAATGGTGCTTGTCATCGATCCCAATTGCGGGGATGGATGTTCATGATATCAATCACTGGATTGTCTGGTCCAGACTCCATTATTTACAGACCACCGTCATACAGCTGAAATATTGTCGGGTGCTGCATCAAAGAACAAACCAACCAACCACATTAACGTGAATACATTTTGGAGAATATGACCTTAAGAGTGGGTGTGACCTTCAGTAACAGTCACAGTTGTATCAAGAACATTCCAAGTGGTTGTACCAGTCTATGAACGAAATATGACGCGCCAGGTTGAAGTCATTGTTGTAACGAAATAACGCATATGCTGATCATTTAAAGTACATATAGGTCACGCTGAACTGCGGTCCGCGTCATACCAAAGACGTTGAAAGATGGTGCTTGTTCTTATCCTGCCTTGCGCTCCGTATTTGCGAGATAAAACAAGGACTGGTCGGCTCGGAGTCAGTATACAGTGTCTGAGTTGGGCATGCATGTCAAAACGGCCGCATGGTATCTCAGTGAGTCAGACTACTATAAAACCGGCAAATAAGCACGCACACATGCACGCACGCAAACCCCATTTAACCTCACATTGAACTTTCGCAACATGAGAGATAACTGAACTACTTTTTAAAGCAGAGGTAAGACAATTCTATTACAAAGTATAAAGAAAGGCGTTTCTGTTTGCATCATAACAGATGGCAAGGTGTCCGTCTGGAGATTATTGGAAATATCATCGTCCTGGCCGCCTCCCTGTTTGCCGTCATATCACGTGACACTCTGTCAGGAGGTCTTGTGGGCTTGTCGATCTCATATGCTATTGAGGTATGTATGACACTGCGAACCTGAGTTTGGTTAGGCGATCATGGACACCTTACTTGACCGTGCATGTATCTGTGACGGGTGCCACCGTTGCGGCAGGACACTCACCATCTCGCAAAAACCTCGTTCATCACTATTTGATAGTGATTCATAAACCATATGCTCCTGATATAGTCGAAATCGTACAATCTAATAAGCAAAGCACTGTCGGGGTAGAATGACACACAATTAACCAAGTCACCAAGCCTGACAACCTGATCCATTAAGTCCCAAAGACACGCTGGGGATAAATTATAACTCGGAATCACGACTATGTTATTGCAGTACTGAAATACTTTAGGCGTAAAGTCTAAAGACAATATTGGCAGCAACATCTGTTATACAAGAACCCCCAAAGAGACTCTACATTCTTACTCCCGCCACAGGGAGCGGTATCCTTTATTACATTGAAGATGGTCGAGTTAGTCGGGATTAATGCCTCTTTGAACAGTATTCCTGTTATACTACGGTATGGGAGGAAAGCTCGAAGTGTCACAGACGTTCACCATTTTGGTGTAATCCACGAGCACGGGTATGGTGCTGACAAACCTGGAAACAAAATCGTGGCGAACTTTATGCCCACATAGGTTTCTGGCGCACCAAACGGACAGCAACTCTGCCCAGCGAATTGCGGCGCCTTAGACTGGACCGCCCATCCCCCTAAAGTATGAGATTGGTTCAGTTGGATCATAGTTACAGCCAACAATGTCACGTACAACTTGTCCGTGTGTGAAGCAATAGCAACTAGATCAGAGTGATCAGTTTGTGTCATTTGTGTCAACAAAGATACAGACAGATTGTGATGTAATGTTCCTTCTGTCTCAGTCAATGACAAGATAAACGGTCCGCACTATTTAGGAATTTGTTAGAAACCGCAATTTCAGGAATAAGTTCTGGCAGCTAACATGGCAGGTGTATGACATTATGAAGGATGACATCAAGCTTTTGCCGTGTACCTTTTGTATCCATGCCATTGATCTACATGTGCTGATATATACATGTTAGTAGTGTGTGCATTGACTTCAGATAACCGCAAACCTCAACTGGATGGTGCAACTGGTTTCAGAAGTAGAGACTCAGATCGTTACGGTGGAGAGGGTCAAACAGTATACAGAAATACATTCAGAGGTATGAAAAACGAAACCAGACTGAAGCGAGATGTACGTTGATGATGCCTTTTCTGATAAACATCAGCATTCTAATTCAGTATTACGGCATTCTAATTCAGTATTAGACTACCTCTTGAAAAGTGCAATGATCTTCTAATACTTGCCTTTTTTTCAACGTGCCTGCCAGAGTGTTGATAAGATAGATTTATTCAATCCTAGCCAGCATGGGACATACCCGAGAGACGTCCAAATCACGACTGGCCAGACTCAGGAATGGTGACGTTCCTCGACTACTCAACTCGGTATAGAGAAGGCCTTGATCTTGTTCTCAAGGGAATCACGTGCACTGTGCATTCTAGGGAAAAGGTAAATTGAGTAGTACTGGCACCTTACATGTTAATTTGGATAGAAATGTGCTTGGTTGTTGAAATTAAAGGATGGAATGAAACTATTTTACTTTAAGGAACTGACTCAGGTTCATTTTATCGTTCGAGCAATTTCCGAAGATTACTAGAATTTTAAACGTTTAATAGATAATTGTTTTCTTTGAACAATAGCTTACACATTTCAATGCGTGACATCGTTGTTTTCTTTTCTTCTGAAATACACTTATCTTACTTTGAAAATATTGCACATGGCCTTTATAAAAATGAATATTTTTTTAAATTATGCTCCTACGTTTTTTTAAATGCCATCGAATAACTGCATATTTTAGTATGGGACCGATATCTCATAGACACCATACATCAGACAAACGGACACCAGGCAAACCAGTGATTGATATTATGAGTAACGTACGATGATAACCAAATCACCTTAATATGGCGATCCTATCCATTTATGTAGTTGTCAGTTACCACATGCATAGCTTACTGGGGACCTATTCTCACCCTGATTCCTCATGGGATAATTGATACCCAAACATTTACAGAAAATGAACAGCAAAGTATTTACTCATCAGAACATCACTTGTACTTGCACCAACAGTTCATAATACACACATTCTGCATATTCCAGGTGGGCATCGTAGGCAGGACGGGAGCGGGGAAGTCCTCTCTGACTCTGTCCCTGTTCCGGTTGATAGAGGCTGCAGGAGGGGAGATCAACATAGATGGCGTTGACGTCAGTACACTCGGGCTGCATGATCTCAGGAGCAAACTTACCATACTACCTCAGGTAAGCGTTTCCTTGTCATCAATATTGGCGTCATACGTGTGGTGTTTCACGTGATAGAGTTTATAATAATGACCGGTTTGAACTCTTGAATGATTAAGAAGAAATGCTTTGAAATGCTCTTTCAGGATCCTGTATTATTTGCTGGAAATCTGCGAGGAAATGTTGACCCCTTCAACCAGTATTCAGACAATCAGATCTGGCAGGCACTAGAACATGCTCATCTCAAGACGTTTGTGGAGACTCTTCCTAACGGACTGGAACACGAGTGTAGCGAAGGAGGGGAAAACATGAGGTACCAGATCCTGTCAATGTTTTTGTTATTTAAAATTGTTGCTTCTCAAGTATTACTTCTGTACATTAGAGTGTGTCAGCACTTAAGATATATTTGCACAACACAAAAGCTATAACTTGCCAACATGTGGGTTATATTTCTGGCATATTTCAGCGTAGGTCAGCGACAGCTCTTGTGTCTGGCCAGAGCTCTTCTGAAGAAGACCAGGATCCTGGTACTGGACGAGGCTACAGCTGCCGTTGACATGGAAACAGATGACCTGATCCAGCAGACCATCAGGTCAGAGTTCAAGGACTGCACTGTGCTAACTATCGCCCACAGACTCAACACCGTAATGGACTCTGACAGGTTTGTTTTCATGTACTTTGTTCTTATTATTTCAGAATTTCAGTATTTAAGTTTGATGCATCGGGTGTTGTATGACATTTTCGGGTAAATAATACGTAAGAGGCGACCATAGAGTTCTGGTAGTGACGTTGATTGCTCGTCATGGTTCCCGACGGTGCGGATCGACTGCTCCCAACAAATATACATACACAAACAAGCAAACACACAATCAAACAAGCAAATAACGTAAATATTGATTGAACTGTATTGCTGTACCAGTGATTAAACATAACATCTATCTTTCAGGATCCTTGTCCTTGACAACGGATGTGTGTGTGAGTTTGACACACCCTCCTCCCTGCTGCAACAGCCTGATAGCATCTTCTACAACATGGCCAAAGCTGCAGGGTTGACATAATACATATCATTTGGGTTTAATATATTGTATATTGATTATTTAACTACAAAATAAACATCACGACAGTGTGTGTTAGTGTGTGTGTTAGCGTGTGTTAGTGTGTGTGTGTTAGTTTGTTAGTGTTAGTGTTAGTGTGTGTTAGTGTTAGTGTTAGTGTTAGTGTTAGTGTGTGTGTGTGTGTGTGTGACAAGATTAATTGTGTGCCACCATCTGTACAAACGGACACAGTGGCAAAACTTTAAAATGGCCGTGGATGGATTCTCCGTGGCCAGAAAAAACCTGGGACTTGACGTGGAGGGATAAGGGCACGGGTGAGACAGCAATCTAAGACGTCGCAATTTGCTGTCCAGAGTGTAGGCCCTTCAGCGTGTCGGAAACCGAGATCGTGGGTTCTAGTGTTGTGATTGTCCATAATTGTGTTTCTAGTTTTTTTAGTACCATACCGGTGAACCACTCTCCTCCCTGAAATACTGTTCAAAGCGACGATAAACCCAGCTCACACACTCACTTTATGGCCACTGAAAATGTCCATCATAAAGTTTTGGAATCTAAGTATCCTTGACACAAGATATGTTTCTATAATTTTTATCAATACCTCTTGAGATCATCACAGGTCAAATGAAAGCGACATAACCCTTTCCATATTCACAAGACATCTCTGACATATTAAATTAAGAAAAGTCCATTTTCATTTGCCACACAAATATCAGACAGGTCACTCTCCTGATGTACTAATATTTATAAAACGGCGGTAGATTAACAAGACACAATACCAGAAGACATGTCCATTTCTCTTTTGTAAAAGAATCCAAAGCTCCATACCAATTTGTATAAAGGGAGATTTATTGCTGAGTCCAGCAAATGTACCACCAAATCCGTGAATTAAAGATTTAGCATAATCTTTAATACAATGAGGGAAGCACTTTCTCCATACTCACAGACAGTAATTAGACCAGTGGAATGAAAACCATGTGGATTTGCTTGACTTTTTTCAACGGAAGAAAAGAACCAAGTTCAATTCTGTCAAAATATTTGATTTTTCAACTTTGTGAACCACTGTACCACATGTCAAACCCAAGGAAAACCTTCATTCCTTGATCCATGGGGCATCTGTTCCTAAACATGGTAACCATAGGTATAGTTACTTATCTATCCTTAAAGGTTTAGGACAATTTGTGAAAAATGAAAGCAAATGCCATCTGAATTTTACTGAGAAAACAAAATGTAAAATACTGGACTTCCCCATTGCTAATATCTATGTAAAAGAGTAAGACATTTAGGCAAGAAGAAGGCATCCCCACGGGCACAAATGGCGCACCCCTCCTTTCTCATCTGTTTCTTTGTGCATATGAATGGGATTTTCTGCTCACATTAGCAATGTCAAAACGGGGAAATATGGGTAAGAAGTTTAACTCATTATATAATGAGCTTCAGGTACATAAGGGATCTAATATGTGAAATGCTGGACTTTCTCATGCCTAACATTCATGTGAAATTTGGAGGAAGGACATGAAGCCAAGAAGTGTGCATCCTCATGGCCACCCATTGTGTTCCCCTTCTTGGTGTTCTCTTTCTTTATGCAACTGAATTGGAATATCTGCTCGGGCTGTCAGGATACGCGTCACCTTTTCGCGAACACCTAGCTGGTATCATCACTATTTGATAGTCCTTCATAAACACGTGCTCGTAATGTAGTCGGAATTGTACAGTCGACTTATGATTTCTTTTGAATATGGACAGGGTTGTGTCGCTTTTATTGTTCCCCAGGGACTCTGAAGTGAACAGGAACTTCTTATATAATGTATATGCTTTATCATGTAATGGGTAGGTTTCTCGGCAGGATAACGCCAACGGATAGAAACGATATCCGTCGGGGCCATATGCAGATGGAGCTGCAAATAGGAACGGTCAAGTTGGGACTACTATCAGTGTTTAGAAACAAACACGACGTGGGCCTTGTTAATCAGCGATCGAGTCAGAATTGACAATCGCGGATGTGGACACATTGTTGGCATAATAGATCACAGTTCATTTGAGAATTCCTTCTTTGTTCTAATCGATGGGAAATGTGTGAATATCTTGACGATCCGCTTCATTACAATGAACCAAATTATCCTTTTTACATTTCGACAAACACTCTTGGTCTAAACGCACAATACACTTAGTCCAACACCTGGTTTTGTCGCTAACCATTTGGAGAGACAAAACTGTGTTCATTTACGAAATCCATGAATGAGCACTCGAAACATCTAAATGCCTCACAAACATCAGGGCGAGGAATATCTGATTCAGATCGTAACGTCCTCGTAACGTTCCGGCATTCCAAGGTCATGACCTCTGACATCGCGGTCATTTCTGCCATGGTTTCTAAGAAAGGCTTATGGGATATGATTTTACTGTTTATAATTTAAAAAGGCTGAAGGTATGATGTCATTTACTGCATATATGATCACGGTATGAAACAATGAAGTCCACGTTGCTTATTGAACATATTGATGAATTCGAGGGTCAGGTTACATTTTGCTTCATTTAACCAAGAGCATTGTGTTCATGCCATGCGACGGGGATTCCCCATTATTACACAACGCCTCGTAAGACACCGTTCTGGCCTTCTGGCGAGGAGCTATTTTTAGCATGAGGTCACCCCGGCGGGACTTTCCTTAACCAATCAAAACGCGGATCCCATTGGCGCCTGGGGCATAACTGGCATTTACCTCCTTCGTGACCAACTCGTCCCATCCCTAGACATGCCGAATGTAGACTTGTGACCCTCTCAAAGGCTTCCATATTGGCGTATGAACACGAGAACTACTTCAAAGAAGAACCATAACTCTAATTATACCCGCGATTTGTAGGCATTGCAGAAGCTCTCGCTTATTGCTGTTGTAAAAGTATTGAACCTCCCTGAGATAAATACTAGCATATTCTTTTGTACAAAAATATATTTGGCCAGACATTCACCCTATTCATTCATTCATTCTCAACTGTTCGTATTTTATTTACAAATAAATACTTTTTGAATAAGATATTAAAATTAGATGAAGAAAACTGACAAAACCAAGGTGGTTTTAACCAATGAATTTCCCATGTTCAGTTAAGCGTGGCAGATTTGGCATTGTCTTTTCAATGCTACAACGACATTTTTAAAACTCATATATTTGATAACTGAATCTGTACTTTCATAAACAGCGTTAACAAATAGTGTACCCATTTTATATGAATTAATTACAATAAAGGGGCTGCCTAGTGGTTAAAGCGTTCGCTCGTCACGCCGAAGACGGGTTCGATTCCCAACATGGGTACAACGCCGTGATATTGTAGGTATATTGCTAAAACCATAAACCCATTCTTACTCTCTCACTAATTACAATGCAGTTATGAAGGAATGCCATATCCCGAATGTCTGAAAGAAGAGTAGAAGTTTTTCTAAACACACACCAGCAACATAGTGAGACTATGTTAATATTCAGACATCGAGGTGATTCCTAATTATAAGTAGCGCTATGCCTGTCGTATGAGCCGTCTTAATGAATGGGATCGGAAGACTCTTAAACTTGGTTGACTGGTGCAATCGTTCCACGACCGCGTGGTTTACTGGTTTACCTCTTGATGTCTCTATTATGTGCGAGCTGCCGTCATATAGGTGGAATATTGCTTAGTGTGGCTTTAAATCACAAACAAGCTTTCGAAGCTCGTTCAAATTTAAGGTGTTTAAAAAAGAAAGAATTACAATCTTATAAACATATGTAAAGACATGTAGCTGAGTAAAAACTATGTGCTAGATATGACACATAATAACATATAATATCTTTAACTGATTAAATAGTGTGGGAGTATCATTCTAGTCTCTTACAGGTTAGATAAACAAGAATATATGTACGTCACCAATTTAGGTAATTTAAAACCAAAATATTTTTTACATGAACTTTTCATTTCCAATTCCTGTCAGTATTTAATGCTGATCCTTTTACGATAGCTTTCATTTCTTTTACAGATTCCGAAATAATTCGTTCGAGTCTCATATATCTTTGCGATGATGATTTGTGGCATATAAACCATTATACGGCTGTGAATGTCTATTGAGGAATCATTTTTTCTTCCAGCAACCTGTATTCTTTTTATAGTTATCACTTGTTAATGTGATAAAGGTATGTGACACGATCTGACAACACAGTTGTTTGTGTAGAGATATATCTTGGAAACCAGCTAATCACCCAAATATAATTGTTTATTAAATAGTTTGTAAATAATTTGTTTTGTAATAGGTGATTAGTTAATCAGTGTTAATCATACCATACCATCAAAATGGATATTACACTGAATGTAGTTTTGGTAAGCCAAGACTAGTGATGGCCGAAATGAACGGATATTACAGTCAGGGAGCAGTATCCTGAATAGCCCTACAAGTAACAACATCAATTAATATAACACAATTCGCTTCTCCGTACACACTGCGGTGTGGAACCGAAAATATACATTTTCCACATTTTTTAACAAACAGCGTATTCCCAAATTAATTTAAATACTCGGGATTATACGGACCGTCTATATACACGATATCGTGCAAATAGTGGACCAATGCCGTGCTATATACACGACTGGAAAACTCCCTTCTCCGCCGTGAGACGCGAACGCTGATTGGTCTATTAATTTCCTACACACAAACCTGGTTCCCGGTCTCAGTTGCGCTACGCTACATTGTACATTACTCCCCAAAATGTTAACTCTACACGATAGTGCGGACATCGTTTCTAAAGAAATATATCAAATATAATAAAAATTCTTTACTTGTTGTTAAAATTGTAATTTCTTCTCTAAACATCTGTGAAGATATAAAGGTTTGCTGAGGTAGATAAACCAGGTATCACAGTTAGTTAAAAGTTTTGCAGTCGTACAGACATGTTGTGAATATAGAGATCATAAATATTTGGAGTAAACATACTTTACCAAATGAGATACTAGTTTAACGAATCAGAATATTTATAGTTTAGTTCTGTTGAACCAATTAAAATCAAAACATAATTTCCCCTCTTAAAATACTACGAACCTTCTGATAAAAC